TTTGGCAGTATTGACAATTCTATTACTTGTTTTTACCGATTTTGAAAGTTCTTTCAGCGCGGTCTTGAGAAGAAAAAATTCAACAAGTCAAAAAATAACTCCGAAAAGTTATTATTTTTTTGTTTTGCTATTTTTTCGACAAAATTATTGACCAATTTGCCTGTTTTACTGTGATTGTCGAGAATGCTTAATTTCTAGGCTTTCCTCGGATCCTTTTATCACAACACGCACAAAAAAAACGACATTAAATTGAAAAAGCAACAAGGATAACCGATTACTATGAAGTAGCTCAGAATGATCCGACCATAGTTTTAAAAAAATTAGTGTAGTTTTTCTGTGTGGTGTGATGAAAAAATCTGAACGAATAAATAAGAAATAAAGCAGATACGACAGCCATTATCATAGAAACCATTTGAGAAACTATTTTCATAAAAAATGGCGCTAAAAACTCCAAAAACTAAGTTTACTTGAGTAAAATGAGGTTTTCACGTTTTACTTTGAACTTAAATAAGCTATTGTAAGCCTGCGCGCTCACCTTTTTACCTCGAAATTAGACTAACAATAAAAAATTCAAACCGATGTTTCTCGAATCTGAGAAAAATTTCGTTCGAATCACGACTGAAAGGGCTCGAAAATGATATATCACTCGATCTATTCAGATGATTATTTGTGGTACCTGATTTTGCGTGTAAAACAAACAAACTAAAACACACCCGATTACAAAGTTCATCCGCATTTTTCATCAATTGTCCGGAATAAAAGCTTATATATTTATTTTTCTAAGAATATGGTTGGAATTTTTTGTGCTACTTGCACAGCAACCGGCTATCCTTGTCTCATTTTATATTATCAAAGGTCCGGCATTCATTTTTTTTTGGCAGAAATCGTAAAATTCAATTGTTCATTAAAATTCAGAAAAAACCTTTTTAGCAAAAAAAATGCGATTTTTTGTTAAATTCATTGGTGGGAAGTAATTTTCACCGTGCAAGCTTTGTTTCATGTTTATCTACCGGTTTAGGTTCTGCGAATGGAAGAAGAAAATCTACTCTTTCCGATTGACTGGTTAATTTGTCCAATTGAAACAAGCGAAGAAGTTTTTAAGAAGCAAAGAAGTTGTATAGAAGGAGATATTCTATCTAAATGTCCGATTCTATGCAAGGTCGCTTTTTCAAATGTCCAGAATGGAACTCTCAACTGAAAGAAGTAATAAATTGTTTAGTTTTAATTTTTTACAATTATTGTAACTCTAGTTGATCTTGAAACAATGTCCGTTTTATATTGAAAGAGAAACGAGAAGCTAGTAATTGTTTTTTTTTTCAAGTGCCGAGAAAGGGTGCGTTATTAAGTGCCTGTATAATCTTAGTTTTTTTTGAAAATCTCAGAACCAGCACTGTATATACGTCTTGTGTGTTTTTGTACCAATGTGATCCCAAAAGCGAAAAGCAGTGTTCGACGGAATAGCTTGGATTATATAAGATGCTAAATAACAACTACAGGAATAGCAGCTGCTGTGTAAGTGAAGTAGCTTCGAGAGTTCCGACCACGTATCTAGAAAAAACAAATCATTGTTTTATCAACGTCTTTTTTGCAGCGGGAACAAGCTACTCGACAAGCTAATTGAAGCTCAATAATTTGTTATTAACCGCCCAATTAACATTTTTACAAATTTTTATGCCTTGCACTTGTGTATATTGCTCTCACTTGGGCTATCCGCCCTTGATTTATTAGCTTGACCCGCTCAAAATTGGTCTGAAACTAATATTTTTTTCGACACTGAGATAAGTTCGCCAAGGCTCTCATATAATACATCCACTCAATTCCGTTTGACGTTTCCTTTTCATACCTAATTTGTCAATATCGTTTTCCTCTCCTGGACTTTATAGCAAATGGTACAAGCTTATTTTTTTCAATTAAATGCTGTTTTGCAAGTGTTCACAGTAAACTGCTAGTTTTTTTTTATAAATTAGATTTAAGGTATTTTTTTCTGAAGGTTCAATTACTCAATAAAAGGAGGAAACGTTTAATTAGATAATTTCACATCAAATAATATTTGTCTTATCATGGAGGGAAATTTTTTTTGAGGAGCAGAGATAGTCACCTTCCCTCAGTGTAAAATATAAGGCTTACAAGGTACCGTAATTACCTCTCCAAAACAAACAGGAAATAAACTGAAAGAAAATAGGCCATGGGTTTTCAGAACTCTATTTTGTTGTTCCGACAATCCCATGAGTATAAAAGAAATATTATGGCCTCTGTTAGTATGGTGGCCTCTGTTAAGTAATTTTATATACTTCAATGCTCATAAAATATCTGCTGATATATTGAAGCGTCTTCAATGATCCTCTTCATTGCGAAAAATTGACGTGTTGAATTTTTCTGGACTGATTTTTTCTAAGTTACGAAATAGTGACCCTCAACCTGATTTAATTGTATTGTTTTAAGTGCCATTGCGATTTAAAAAAGCGGTCAAAAAATAAATGTCAATTGGTTTTTAAAAACTAATTTCTTTTGCGACTGTCTTGTAGTCGGGACCTAGACTTTTTTTCGTAAATAACTTTTAATTCAAATTTTCAACTTGCTTTATTATTGGATCTTAACAATTGTCAGGTTCCTTCGCTTTTGGTCTATAGGTAACGCAGCGGCTTTTGCATTCTAAGTTCCCGGGCTCGAATCCTGGCCCCCGCCGGACCCTTTTTAAGTATCTATGCAATCGAAAAAAAATTCCGGTAAAAATTGTTTTGGCCATTCATTTATCTGCTCAAATTTTGTCGGCTTAGTCGCTAAATCACGGATTTTTCTTAAGCTAAAAGCAACTAAACTATCACGTTTCCTGCAAGTGTTGTTCATTTTAGTTGCTAGGTTTGTTTGCCGCAATTTTTTTTTCATGAAGACAGGTATTACGAAAATGAATGGGATTGGGTGTTTTCATTTTATTTTGTTGAGACGCTTTGGCAAATTTTTTTCATTTTTTTTTGTAAAACTCAGTTTTTCTCAAAAACTATTAGAGCGGTTTTTAAAAAAAGGAGTATCAATGTAAAGACCTTCTAATGTCCTATGTGTCTGCGTACTCCCCTAGTCTCTTTGTACTGTACCCCATTGTCTACGGCCATCGAAAATGTCTGTGGGGGGATTATTTGAAAATTACCCTCCCAAATGTGCGATTGTGGTTCAATGAAGATAACAGACAGTAGAGCTCCCCAGCATTAGCGGTCACTCAAATTGTTTTGGCCATTCATTTATCTGCTCAAATTTTGTCGGCTTAGTCGCTAAATCACGGATTTTTCTTAAGCTAAAAGCAACTAAACTATCACGTTTCCTGCAAGTGTTGTTCATTTTAGTTGCTTGGTTTGTTTGCCGCGATTTTTTTTTCATGAAGACAGGTATTACGAAAATGAATGCGATTGGGTGTTTTCATTTTATTTTGTTGAGACGCTTTGGCAAATTTTTTTCATTTTTTTTTTGTAAAATCAGTTTTTCTCAAAAACTATTAGAGCGGTTTTTAAAAAAAGGAGTATCAATGTAAAGACCTTCTAATGTCCTATGTGTCTGCGTACTCCCCTAGTCTCTTTGTACTGTACCCCATTGTCTACGGCCATCGAAAATGTCTGTGGGGGGATTATTTGAAAATTACCCTCCCAAATGTGCGATTGTGGTTCAATGAAGATAACAGACAGTAGAGCTCCCCAGCATTAGCGGTCACTCAAAATTTTTTGCTCAAAATTTATCGCCCTCGAAGATTACCCTCCCATACATGAGATTTCGAGTTCAAATCAAATAACGGTTTGTAGGAAGCTGCCTTGCAGACTTTTCTACGCCAAAAATTTTCTACACAAAAAGTTATGACCCTCGAATATTTTTGGTTTTTGGACCGTATTTTGAACCTTTCTGACTTTTATCGAGAACTACCCTGCCAAACCTGGCATTTTGGGTTCAATCGAAATTACAATTTATGTGAATCTCTTCTGAATAAGAGGCTGCGCCCGATTTTTTTTCCTCAAAAGCTAAGATTCTCGGAAATGTCAAGTTTTTGGTTTGCTGACAGTTTCTTGGAATTTTCTCAATAACTACCCTGTCAAACCTGGCATTTTGAGTTCAGTCGAAATTACAATTTATGTAAACTTCTTCTGAATACGCGGCTGGGCTCGACTTTTTTTTTCGTTAAAAGCTAAGATTCTCGGAAATGTCAAGTTTTTGATTTGTTGACAGTTTATTGGACTTTTCTCTAACTATTCTGTCAAATCTGATATCATAGGTTTTTTTGGGAACAATAGATTGTTGAAAGCGCACGTTTAAAAATGGCCACGCCCATTTTTTGGGGGGAAAATTCTAGCCTCAAAAAGTCAAATCTTTAAAACTTTTTTGTTTTTTTTTTTTAAATCAAAAACTACCGTGCTAATTCTCAGGTTAAGTGCTTTTGAAGAAAAAAAAGCCTTAGAGAAACAATTAAGGTTTTGTGCCGAGCCCAATTTTTGAAATTACCCATTTGATCCCGCATAACAGTAAAATCAATTCAAATACTTTTTAGCTTGGCCCCTAGTTGTCTTTTATTTAACTGCATTCGCATCTTGGCTGTATGCAAATTTAGCTCTTTTCCAAATTCCTTTTGTAATCGGTTGTTTTTCACCTTTTCAATTTGCGTAAAAATAGCTTTTGTGATTATTCGGCCCCAACCTGCTTTAGATTCTGATTGATGTTAAAAAAATAGTAAATTTGAAATTTTGGGTTATTCAGACTCAGTTTACTCTCGGAAATAAAGTTTGTATCGTTCCGTTAAAGTTGCCGAAATCTGCATCAGGCTTGTTACTGATTGTTTCGGTCTCCTAAAAAAGAGCTAGTGTGTTTCAATGAGAACGTTTGAAATACACCAACTCTATTTGCAAAACGTTTGAAAAACTTTTGTATCTAGTCAAGTTGGGTAAGGCTGTGGTAAATGAACTTTTGTTTTGGGAAATGTAGCTAAGGTTGTTACTCTCTAAGAATTGCTCATTGATTCTGTGCAGAAACCTAGCCGAGACTTTAGAAGTACAGCTGAAGCTATTCTACCAGCAGTTGGATCTTTTCCAACTTGTAAACTGCTACTCGCGACTGCCTTTGCCAAGTATCGAAACTCCGCCTTACGACGAAACGTACGTTCAACACGACTCGCCGACAGAACACGATGAATGCGAAGTTGAAGATTTGTTATTACGAAAAGGAAGTCTGGATGATTCTGTCGCAAGTTCAACTGTGAATAAATTATTCAAAATAAACGCTACCGAAGGAAATAGTTCAGAGTCTGAAAAAATAGACAAATCAACTGTAAATAGTACTTATTCTGAAGAAAACTTTGTTTTTGTTTGCGAAGAGAACGAGAACGAATTCGACGAAGAAATATTGAATCGTAGCAGCTCGATTTCAGTCGGAAATAGCAGTCGGCCAAATTCACTGTCGTCTAACGGCGACTTGTTCAAATCAATGTGGCTTTATATGTGTATAGACCCGATGTTTTCAGACGAGTTTCACATGATTCACGATTTGGGTGATATAAGCGGCGAACTACTTACATATGAGAAAGTGAAAACTTGGGGACGCATTATTTTCCAAGGGATGGGTGACGAACCGCCTCCGGATGTTTTGGATGTTGTAAGAAATGAATGGCAGGTGTTATATGAACCAGAAATGGACTGCGAAAATATAGAAATTGAAGAAAGTTTTGTGTCAGCAATACCCAATTCTTGTGTCTGCTAATTTGCAATAATTTGGATGAAAATGAAATTATTAGAATTCTTTGTTAAATGAAAGACTAGCTTTAATGTAAATTTTAGCCAAATTTTAGATCTAGTGCTCAACGGTTGCTTTTTTATCATCAAATTAGGTGCCCTTTCCTTAATAAATCTAGACATCTGTTCAACTATTCATCGATTTATTTTACACTCTGCAGTTTATATTCGTATCAGTCCTTTTGGTTACAAGTTAACGCTTCAAACTATCATGTTTTCGTTTTCTTCGCAAAATACAAGCATAAAAACTTATCGAAAATGTAATGTTGAGCAAAAAGCGCAGATAGTTGTCAATTTTCATCATTTCCCAATTTCAGAATAAAAGATGTGATATTTGGCTTGAAAGAGGTTTCGGTTACTGGTCAAGCGAAATGTCAATTTTTTCTGACGATACCCAACCGGCTACGCTTGTTCTGACTCGTGCCAGTAGCTCAACGTCAGTAGGCGAGTTAGTTTCGTTCAGACAAACATACAAACCATCTTTCAAGCTAACTCCAATTTTGTTACAAACTGTTGTGACTATTGCTTTCGGATCTGGCCTTATGTTCGGCTACAACTTGAACATTGCGAACAACTGCGAGAAAGTGTTGAAAACGCACGTGAATGAAAGTATCTTCTTGCAATATGGATCCTACTTGAGTCAGAGTTCTCTAGACCGGTTTTGGTTGGTCGCCACTTCAGTGTTGCCTGTCGGTGCAATAATAGGATGCTTTCTGTCCAACTTTATCGCGCATAAGTTGGGTCGCAAACAAATCCTTCTACTAAACAATGCAATTGGTGTATTGGGATCAGTAGTCCAAATATGGTCTGCAGCTTCTAGATATGTGGAGCTCTTTATCCTAGGAAGATTCATTACTGGAATTTATTGTGGGTTTATTGCTACAACAGCGCCAGTGTATCTCAATGAAATTTCTCACGTTGCTCAAAAAGGATACATCGGTTCGACTTTTCAGTTGAGTAGCGTATTGGGTACAGCTTTGGCTCTTTTCCTGGGACTGCCACAAGTTTTGGGGTCTAAACAGTATGTTGTTTTTCTGTTCGTTATTCCAATGGTGGTTGCTGTTCTGCAATCTTTGATGCTTCATTTTTGTCCGGAAAGTCCGAGGTTCCTCTTACTCTTCAAGTCGGATCCATTTGGAGCGATGACATCTTTGAGGGCATTCAGGAACTGTCCAGACGTCAGTGAAGATTTGGCGGAAATTGACAACGAAGTGCTGCAAAATTCAGAAGATACGATGAACCAAAACAGGGCTAGAAGAGTCCTAAGGTTCAAACAGATTATATGCAAGCCGAATCTGAGAAAAATGCTTCTCATTTGCATATGTCTACATGCATCTCAAAATCTGACAGGAATGAATGTCATGGTATCTTATTCGGAGTCTTTCCTGGAAAAGATAGTGAACAAGAACTTCGACTCGGGTCTGTGGAACTCTATCATTTACTCTTCTCTCATTCCTTTTACAGTTCTGTCAACACTTCTGGTCGAGCATATTGGACGCCGATTTCTACATATTTCTGGACTCATTGGAGTTACTCTGGGATCCATTTTGGTGACCGCTGCTCTTTTTGACTCTCATGTTGAACACCATTTGGTCTCGAAAACGCTGCTCATTTCTGGTCTGTCTATTTTCATGCTCTTTTATGCATTGGGACCTGGAACTATTCCCTGGTTGATGGTTCCTGAGTTGGTTCCAAGCAGTGCTAGATCTACAGTTAACTCGGTTGCAACAATGGCCAATTTTGCACTGTCGTTAACTCTGGCGCTGCTGGCTGCGCCGTTCAAACAATACATCGGAAACAACGTGTTTTTTGTGTTCATAGTTTCAACTGTGGCTATTGGAGTTTTCCTGTATTTCGTGCTTCCCGAAACAAAAGGAAAGACCTCGGATGACATCTTGATCGCGGCAGGCGAGCGGGGCTTCGAAGTGCAATGCTGCTGTAAGTCAGAGTGGATGGGATTCTCGAGGAATCATTTAGACCGAGACAACGAACTATCCCTTCACGAAGCTGACGAGCAACCTTTATTCTAATAATTGACAAACAACTTGAAAATTGATTTAAATTAACTCTTAGTTTCAGACTTTCGGCATAAAGACCGTCTTAGTGTTATTCGGTTAACAACATATTCTCTTAATTGTCGTGAAAATTGTAGATTACTTTTGATGAATGTAGTCAGAAATACTTAGCATATCATGTTACAGTATATGCAAATCATAATTTCAAAGTTTGGAGATCCAAAGTGTTTCATATCTGAACGAAGGTATTTTTGGTTCCGATGTTTCGAAAAGTTTGGCTTTAGCTATAACATGATAGACGACAAATCGATGACAACTAATTTTTCAATGATCGTTTTGGGGTGCTAGTAGTTTTAGTGTTTGAATGCACTGAGTGTTTTTATATATATGTGAATCATCAGTGAATAATGAATATAACAAGGAAAGTGTATAAATATCTTTAAATCTAAAAAGCTCTTTTGCTAGGAAGAAAAACCTGAGACTGCAGTGCTAACACTATTTTTTCAAGGCGTTGTTTATATTCTTATTGGATTTCGCATATCTGTAAAAAATAAATTTGAATATTAACATTTGAATTCAGTGAATGAAATCTGAAATTAAATTAAGTCAAACAAGGATTAAATTTCAATTACGCTAAACAGTTATATAAATTCCTGATAACTTGTTACCCTTGCAATTGAAATTTTTATTTAGATTAATATATATTTAGATATGCGCTTTTCAAAAATCCAAAAAAAAATAGTTAACCGGTGTATTGACGCCAAGCCAAGTTGGTTTGAAAACTAAATCGAACTTACCTTGAGATAATTACTTCGTGACTTGTTCGGAACAAAGTTCCGGGTTAAAAGTAATATGTGTCAAAAGTAATGTCTGGCTACAAATCTCATTTTTAAAATTCCTATAAAATATTAAATAATTATTTTTGTTAAAAAAATATTCGCTGGAAAAACCTCAATTAAGTTTATTACCCCATGCGAGCTAGCGAGCCTAGTATTATATTAGCAATTCATTTTTTCTAACCCAGCTCCCAATTGGAAGTGGTAAATCGGTGGTTTAATGGCATTGGCAGTTCAATTGGTATCGTTCTATTGGATTTATTTTAGTGGCTAGTGATTGCATATTTTCAAGCGACCATGGCGCAGATGCGAGGTAAAAAGAATCAAAAGAGTAAATCGGCACAGCAAATTTCACGGTTTATTTTTCTTACCGTTTTCTTGCTTGTATTTGCTTCGCACCACTTGCGTTACATCTCAAACAACACGGCGAGCTAGCCGAAAAACGCTGAACCGATAGTCAAAATGAAAAAAAAAAACATATACCAAAGTTTGCCTATCACGATTTGTCTCGAATGATTTTCAATTTAAAAGAAAAGTGTCGAGAAGACCAGTTGTCCGCCTTAACTGAACAGAAAATTAAAAACAATAAAGCAATAACAGCCGTCAATACTTGCGTAGAGGGCCGTTGCGCCAAAAAAAATGTCCTAAGAACCTGAGCACTAAAAAAATTAAAATTCCAAGCTTACCAAGCAAGCAGTTCAGAATAAAAATACCTCCTTGTTGCCCAACTAATTGCGCACTGCGAGACTACTATGACGATATAATCCGCTGAACCTTTTGAGCGAAATAAACCTCCAGATGACAAAAATAGAAAATGACGAAACTGGATTAGTTGATTGTACAAGTAAAAAAAACAGTTTTCGAATTAAAGGGGCATTCAAACTGCAAACATGATCAGAATATTTCTTTGGCTATAAACTTTCAAAAGAGGCATCGCTACTCCGATATAATATAGGTTGAAACCTTTTGAGCCAAAAAAAAAATTCAAACGTTCGCAATGCGTTTTCAGCACTGAACTTTCAATAGAGGCCTCACAGTGATGAGTCCTGTAGAGGCCCACAGGAGGTAGTCCTGTATACAAATATGTACTAGGAAAAATCTTGTATCCGCTGGCCAAACACTTACTCTCGTAAGTGTGAAAGTGAACAAAAACACAATTTTTGAACTAATAATATTTTCAAATTTTCTCAGTTTTTGCTCAATAATTCTGTAAGAAATTGTGAAGTGATTTTTAGTGTGCCTTAGAAACTTCGTGAATTCTTCCAACTTGGACTGGAGGTAACGGCTATGAATTCCGGCCGGAACTTTATGTTTCTTCAGCATGTATAAAATCGAAAAAAAAATTCGGGAAAAATTGAATTGACTTTCGTTTGTCTGCTTTTGTTCTATCGGCTTAGTTGCCACAATGAGGATCCACAAAGTGCCGCCAGCATTTTTTGTTGTAGATGCAATTGTTTTTGATTTCCTCCTGTAATTTGTAAAATTAATAGCAATGACGTTGCATATTTTCCTTTTTTTTCGCTTCAATGATTTATTTGGCCTAATTCGTTTCGACTTATGTTTTAGCGCCTTAGTTCCTTTTTTTTCGGTTCAAAAGCAAAAAAGATTGATATTTTTGAAAAATGCAACATTTTAAAGATTAAAAGCTTAATTGCTCAAAATCTCGACTTAAAATTTCTTATGGCAGTTCTTTGTTTTTGGCTTTATTTGCGTCTACCCACTTGCTGTCGGTTTTGTGGCTGCTCGGTAAATACCAAACGCTGCTGTATAGTGCGTGCTGGTTGTGTTTATGATTCTCAAGAACCTTGGTTTCGAATTTGTTATTTCCTTCTCAGTGTCTAATCGCTAGCTTGCAATGCTGCGCTCAAGTTGTGTTTTAAGTGATGCGAAGCTGCGTTTCAGCTCTGTGTCTACATTTCCAACTGTTTTTTAAATCAAGAGCGACTGAATTAGATACAAACCTGTAAGAACTAGAGGTCATAGTCGCTAAAACGCGTCAAACTTGTTTTACAAAAAAAAAGAAGTTGAAATCGTATGGGTATCGATACGGAAGTCTTTGGATAGCCAAGCGAGTAGGTTTGCACTGGACTAAAATCCGGATGTCTCTGCTGCTGTAATAATTCTCAATTAGTTTCAGCTCGCGAAATATTTATGCGTGGCAAATTATCCACACTCATAATCGTTCCAAATTGAAATGAGGCAAGCTATTTGGTATCATTAATTAAAATTTGGTTTATCAGCCCTAAAGTTCGTAGTTTGTCATTATTTCATTGATCAAAATTTATTCGAGACTGATTAATAGGATTCACTGTTTTGCCCTGATACGAGCAGTCTTGTTCATTAATAATTTTTTCTACGCATGTGGTCATAGTTGAAAATCAGATTAGTTTGTAAAAGCCTTTTTTTTAAATCTACATAGCTTCATGATAATATTTTTTCAAATCAATCGAATTTTGCAAACATAAGCAGACCGTTTAAATACGCAGAATTTTTCAAATCAAATTTAAAAAAAAATCATCAATTTTTAGAAAACAAACTGCTCAATAGACCTTAAAAGGCAGTCGGAACATTCAGGGCTCCGCCATGATACAAGCAGCTTTTTGAATGATCGATTTCATATGGAAGCTAAATGTTTAATTTCTTGCGTATACTCGATTCTAATGATCATAAAGTATTGACGTTAGTCTAGTGTCATGGCGAAAGCTAGGTAGTGAAAGTAACTAGTAATAAGAGAGTTTTCAGTTGAGTGTTGATCGTGTTTTATGAGAGATTTTTTCCGAGTCGAACCGAATTGAGAATCAAGAAAAAACACTAATCAACGAAATATTGATCACTTTCTGCCGAAGCTAGATCTAAAAAACAGTCACATGATCATTTTTTCTTTTCTCGCAAAGATTTGCAAAGGGGCGACCTATCGATATGTGTTTAATAATCAATTTCAAATAAAATCTAAATTTTTAATTCCTTGTGTATGTATTTTCAAGTCTTTGATAATGAAATATTGACGTTAGTCGGATATCATGGCAAGAGCTAGGTAGTGTAACTCGTTTTGAGACCGTTCCCAATTGCGTGTTTATCGTGTTTTATGAGATTTTTTTCCAAATTGAATAGAATTGAGATTCAAAAGCAAATACTAATCAAAGAATTATTCATCACTTTCTGGCGACGCTGGGACTAACAGCGAGTAGAGTAACACGTGAAAATTTAAATGAAGTTTCAGTCAAAAAGCAGCATAAAATTTACGCCAACTTACAATAATCACTGAGGTTTAAAATTTTGTCTTCGTTGTTCATTTGTAGATAATCTGTATCTAGCTGTTAAACTCTTATAAAATTATTACTATTCAGAATGAAGAGTAATATTTAGAATATATAACATCGTCAAAGAAATGTAAAAATGGCCGCTTCAGAGTTCCAAACTGTCAACGTACCGCACGTCAAATTTTTATCCCCAAGAGACAAAAAAATTCCAGTTGAAACTTACAATATTTACAATAACTACACACCCGGACCGAAAAAAGTTCGAAATATTTCGGATCGTTCTCAGACTGAATGGGGTTTCACAAAAGATGGCATGGTCGAGCTTCCGCGGGCTGACATTTTGACTTCGAAAGGACGATCCCGAAACCCTGTTACGAGTCAAAACTCGGATCCGAGGTTGCACGCGATAGTCGAGAAAGGGAACTGGCATCGCAACCGAAACTCGACTCTAAGATGGAACCAAGCGTCTATGTTTTCCCAAAAGAATAACCCAGATTTAAACAGCAGAAATGGGTATACAGGGAATGAGGTGATTACGGTGTCTTTATATAGACAACCGTCCGCTTATGAAGTTTCTCTAAGGAAAAAGGGAATGTTGCCAAACGAGAGCTCGAGACCAGTCACTGGATTTCCGAGATACAGAGAACAGGTCAGTAATGAAATAATTACAATTAATCCCAAAAGGTTTAAAATAAGTAGTAGATTTTGAATAAACTTGTCACGAGTTCGACCTTGGTTTAACTTCCATCAGTTTTTTTCTATCGACAATCTCGAACTTTTTATAGTATCTCAGCTGAAATAATAACTAAATTCGCGCAAAACTGCATGTAAAAGTTATTTAATAAATATTCGTATCCCACTTTAGGTTTCAATAATACAATGTACAGTTTCCGTCATTATCAGTATTTTAGCAAGGTCAAATTTCAGTTGTTTCTTAAATTGCTAATTAAGGAAAATCGTATAAGTTGAAACTTATACGATTTTCCTTAATTAGCAATTTAAGTTGAAACTTAGGACTAGCTAAGCATATGATTTTATATACTATTTGATTGGGTCAATATAACAAGGCAGAAAACGCAATTCAATTTATTCAGAAAAAACGTCCACTATAACTTTGATTTCTTTAAGACGCCAAGAACACATTCTGAAGTCTCGCAGCAAACGACAGGACAAACTTCAATAGGGGTGAACACAGTTAGCGTTCAAGACATCGACCCGAACTCACAGGCTTTTCCTTTTACCGTTTCATCCCCGCCGGTAGCTCGAGAAATAGCAAAAGCCAAACTCTTATACACCGACGAAGCGTCAAAACGCCGAAGAGTCAAGCCCCGTCCCAAAACATCCTCAAGCGCTAATATTTTTCGGAAATCGAATGAAAGCGACTCTGAATTCAATTTGAGCAATAGATTACGTAACACGGCATATCATTGGTCGCCCTGTGGAATGTTGTCAGAGGAAGAAATGAGACGAGCTTATTCGTCAGTAACAGGTGAAAAAATTGCTCTGCAGTCGCGAGCGTCGTCCAGAGGCGCTTCGAGGACAGCGGGTCGTGCCGATTTAGGAGACGGCGGTTTAGACGATCCGCCGTTACACCGTAACTTGCGAACTCGAACTTTAAAATCAGCTCCTTTGTCTTCGCTGTTGAAAAGGCAGATCGTACCGACTTCTTATACCATATATGGAGATGAAGCTGTCTACAAAAGTGAATCTGGTTCTGGTCGGCCTCCTACAAGTGAAACTGAAATACCCCAACAAGTTAAAGCCCCATCGCATGATTCAGTCGAAGTAAAGTCTTCATAAGCAGAAATAAAAACGAAAAGCTCTTATATGATAAAATATACGTTTGGTCGGCCGAGATATATATAAAAAAAAACAAAGATTTTGAGTCAATTAAACAAATATTTTCAAATTAATTTTGATTTAGAATAACGCTTTTAAGTAATATATTTTTTAAAAGCTGAGCGGAAAGTAACCTACCTGGATCCTTTAAAGCTTCTGTAAGCTATAACTTACTAGAACTCACGCTGAAAATTGTGGCTAGCGCTAGATATTGTAACCCGAAATCTTACGCAGAGGAGAACTCGCATTTCACAAACACAGAAAACGGAAGCTGATAAAATATATATAGGTAACACGAATGAGCAGTACACAAATAGAAAGGCATCACTTTTGCTGAGCGCTAATTTATGCGTACTGTAACACACGTAGTCTTGCGTAATGATTGTGATTGTGAGACAACTATCGCATCAAATTGATCAAGAATTAATCAAGTCATTTTATGCAGATTCAATGATTTGAAGTTTTAAAAAAAGTTTGTGAATATTATGAACAGCTCCGCGAAAAAAGCACAAAATGCAGTTTTTTGGCAGTCGATTCCAAATGTGAGATCAAGTAAGTGTCTTGGAACTAGCATCTGGATTTTTTTTCTTTCATTTTTTTCTGTTTCAAGCAAAAACTGATGAGTTAACAAATCTGATGCAATCAAATTTGTTGCCTCATCAGTTTTTACTTTTAACAGAAAAAATATTTAAAAAATCCAGATGCTAATTGTTCGCCCTTTTGCGTGTATCGGGACTGACTAAACTTCTATCAAATTGGATCTGTCAAAATTTTTCAGATCACCAAATTTCATTTTGAGAAAAACATTTAGCATTGCAAGAAAATTGAAGCGGTTACTAAGTCGATACAAAAGGAAAAACTTTAATTGAGTCAAAACAAGGGAAAAGTTGAGCAGCTATAAAAACAGCTAAAAAAACTTTTGAATAAAAATCTATTCCAAATAAGAAGAATTCGTTTACCAAAACATTTTTTTTCACAAAAGCGACGCAATGTACGGTGACTATTTCGATATTTAAGACATCAAAAAAAATTGAAATAGAAAAACGGCGAGAAAACAAAAAAATCAGAACTGGTATTTCCCGAACCAAGTAGGAAATTTTTTTTATTAAATCCGGGCAATTAAAATACAAAAGTACTCGAAAAAAATCTACAGGTGTAGCCAGGTACGTTTTGCTAGGAGTCAAAGAAGATACCGAAATTTAGGAGTCAAGTATAAAAGTCAAGTTATGGGTTCTTTGTTATCTAATATTCGGCAACAACCGACAGACATTCGAAAATCAGGAAGCCAAAACCATCAGAAAAAAATAACATCCAATTTCTATCCTCAACTATACAGTGCTTAGAGTGATAGGTATAAAATTTAGGAAAGTTTGATAAACATAAAGCTAACTCGATTTTTTTATTTGTAGATAAAATTAATTTGATTGTTTGAAAAAAAGGGTCTCTTTACTTATTCCGCCCAAATTTCATAATTTACAATTTTTCATTACTCATTTTTGTAAATTCTGAGACAAAATACTCGTAGCCCTGATTGATTTGCTTGATACAAATGCAATCACTTTGTTTTTCAGCCGATTTCTAACAAGTAATACACAATACAAAATACTATATCATTATAATTTCAAAATTGCGGAGCTCCAAATTGAGCGGTAACTATAATTGACCCAGCTTGTTGAAAGCACTGCTCAGGCATATGAATTGTTTAGCAACAATTTTTTCACTTAACTAACAGTTTATACATGCCTTCTTGTAATTTTTTAGTGTTAATTTTACACAAAAGCACAGCGGAGCTTCGCACTACTAGCGATTTAAAACAAAAAAAAACAGCTGATTCGAAGAAAAGCTATTAAAAACCGAATTTTTTTAAACAAAACGAAGTCAAAGCGGAGCCATTTACAATAAAAATGATTGAAGAAGATAAAAAGCATGAAACAATAATATAATAAAACATTGAAAAAAAAATTGTCAATAAAAACTGCAACAAAAGCCCAAATTATTCAAAACGAATTACCGGCATTAATTTGCGAGAGTTTTTGGAATGCGTGAGAGAAGATAAAGTTTTACAAAAAGCCTCTCTATGGAACTAAGCCAACAAAAATAAGCAGACAGACAATAATCAAAACTAGCCGAAACTTTTCATTTTTACAAAACAAAACAGGCCTCGTCTGAAATGAAACTCCTGGGCTTTGTCGCATCAGGCAGGGGTGTTGAAGAATCTTCGAAGAAAGCTGATTTTTTTTTAAAACGTAGAGCTATGGGAACTAAGCCGAAAAAAATAAACAGACTGACAATAGTCCAAAAAATCAAAAAAAATCAATTTGCAAAAAAGTAGGTCCCGGTCGGATTCAAACCACAAGTTGTTGCGGTCGCAAGCAGTTGTGTTACCTCTACGCCATATACAGCCAGTCGTATGATTTAATATATAAATTGAAACCGGTAAAAAAAAACCTGAGCAAAAACGCTACATGTCAAAAAATGCAAATTAATAAAAAAAATGTTTCAGTCGACCTTCCCTCAGAACAGAAACAGACAAAAAAAATTCGTGCATCAAATACGCAATAGGAGGCTATTAATCCAAAAAACAATAAGTGTATGCAAAAACAAAAGGTAAAAATGATAGTCTGAGAAGTCAAGTTGGTTAAATTATAACCAACAAAAAAAAGCAAAATTTGAATAGGAAGGATATTGGAAATGATAACAAGCTCGAAAACTGAATATTTGCAACATTGAAGACCGGGACAAGACACAGTATTTTGAAAAAAATCTTGTTTCCAGTCGCAAAACATTTGTTTTAGTCTATAACGTATAAGGAATTTTTACTGATATAAAAAATGCCAAAAGGAATAAAAAATTATCAAATAAAAAAATTTCTCAAAACTATACTTTTCATCAACCATATTGAAATACCAATTGAAAAACTAGTGTCTTTTAAAATTTTAACACTTTTCTCGCTTCGCAAACACAAGCGAGAAATTGACAAAATAGTCTCTTAAAAGTGATGAAATACGACAAGGGAGAAATAAACCTCGAATTAGAATTTTTTTTTCCATTTCCGATTCAAATCTGTCACCTAAAGATGTGAAATTTCACTTTCTCGCAAATAGCCTACCAGCCATAAAGTTTTCGTTTTAGAAGCCACCAATAAAACAGCTACAGAAGTTAATAAATTGCCAATGCTATGCAGCAAAAATGCTAAGTGCAAAACGAAGTTGCAACCTGCTGAATGAGATTCTCGCGTCCTGCATTTAGTGACACAATCGCTTAAATTGTCCAACAATAGCCACCGATTTAGCAGAAAACAGTTTCTATAAAATTTTCAAGGCTACAGATCATGCTAACAGCAAAAGTGTTACCAAATTTGCATATTTGTTTGACACTTAAATTGGAAAAAAGTAGAGTCAGACTATTACAGTCCTCTCGTAATTGAGGTAAAAGCCACATATTTTTTGATAATTTTTGCCCGTCAAATCGATTGAAGCTTCGTGTTCAATTTATCCTTGACATTGACTAATTTTTAGTTTTCTCTTTAGATTTAGAAAGTAAATAGATTGCTTAGATTTACTTTGGGACATTTGAGTCGTCAATTCTCCTAACGCATCAATTTCCTTTTTCTTATGAAACTTTTACCTGATTGCTGAAATTTTTACTCAACGGTTAGGTGAGAGCTTCATTTTAACATGTAGCTCAAACCAGGAACCTATTTTTCGAATTCTTCGTAGACTGCACGTACTCCCCTGTCAATAAATATCTGAACCCATAGCATTTATATATATGTATAAAAGAATCTCCACTACGTTATTGACTTAATACCAAAAACTACTAATATAAATTCAAAAATATTGGAAACAATAATGAGACCGTTGCAGTTAACTGGAATTAGAAAAAACACTGCGTTAATAAGTTTCTCAGGTCAAAGACCCATTGTGCCTCTGACTCAACTCTAAATCAGTAGTGTGCGCAGGTAGACGGAAAATTATCTACCGAAAATGCAGTTTGGATACTTGAATGAAAATTTTGACCAATTATCAGTTTTTGAGATTCGATCAAATTCCAATCACTGAAAGCAACGCTTAACAGAAATTTCAGCTCACCAGAAATAATTCGCGCACTATGCATTTTTCTGCTCCGTATATTATTGGAGCGTTCGTTTACAGCGCTCTATTGAAAAAATTCAGAAGGAAAAAATTTAAATTCGAAAGAGGAAATTATTTGATAAGACGGATTTATTGTATACAATATTTCAACTTCGAATCTGTAATGGGAAGCAGCGCAAAGTAGAAAAATCTCACCAACCAAATGGCTGACATCGCTTCAAGTAATACTTCACATATTAAAATTTTTTTAAATTCTTATTTAATGTCAAGAAGCAAAGCAACCAATATAACTTGCGATACGGAAATTAGGGGGTGGTGTTTCTGCAACTGAAAATTTATCTAAGATTTCTAGACAATAAGAAATTTTGCGGCTAATGGTAAAGATTTATCTCAAAATTAAAAACTGATTTTAGCACCGGGGTGGTTTCAACTTAAAGCCATTAAAAGTCGGAAACATCAACAATAACGCGAAACAGATTCCGATATTTCGGGCTTTTGGCCTTTGTTTAAGTAAAGGGCTGATAATTTCTCGCTATGATGCTCAAGCCAATGACAATATAAACTGTATTCAAACCAATATAAAAGTCAAGGTCAAAATACGTTTTTTATTGTCAAATAGCGAGAAATGATTGAGCGAAATTAACTGGGTTTAATTTTCGAAGGAAAATATATTCTAATTTTTTATTCTAACAGCTAGGGTTAAGTGAACGACAGAGATGATAATTAATCTATTATATCACATATTGGGAAAACGTCTAATCTAATTCAAGGTTTAAGTATATCATGATACATCGAAATCAGCTGTGTTGTTAAGCTAAACCGTTTGCAGTGAGAATAACCCACCGAACTCAGTTTTCACTTAATGGCAATGCATTTGGGAATGGGGAAAGTTAGGTAAGAGCAGAAAAGCAAAGATGCACTTCGAAGAAAACAAGGCTGCAGATATTCGCCATCACCTCAAAAATATCTTTGCTTTATTAGTATCGAAACATCTTCAAATCAAACGTTTGTATCGTTTTGAAGTGGCTAGCCTATCAGATCAACTGAAAAACTGTGCGTTTTGAACTATATAAAGTAAGATATTACATCTGTTCATATTTTATCATTGATTTTGATCATATTTGAAACAGTTAGTTTTGATCGGTTGGATACTTTCTACAGGTTAGTGAGGAGTCCCACGTCGTCCCTGACAACATTCGGATCATTGGCCTCATCATGGTCAACTGACGAGACCTCCCGAGTTTCCATGGTGACGCCTTCAGAAGACATTGAGACCCACGGCCTGTCGGCGCTTCGGTTCAACGACGCCGATTCACCTCCAACTTTTCCCGAGGCGGGGAAATAGGATCGGGAACCCTGAGACGAGAAAGATCCCGACGACTCATGCGAGCCTGAGGCATCGTTGTAGCGCGAAAGAGGAGAGTTTGATATTTGAGTCAGGCTGGCTACGTCTTCGGACTGTAGGCTGACTTTCTTCAACTTCTTCCCCTTGACCTTTCGGTTTTCAGAACTAGTCCTTGTGTTGGGATACGAAGGGCTAAAAATTATAAATACGATGGCGTATTAGTTTGTAATAATCAATAAAAATCCCAGTGGCCAAATTTGTTTGTCAAGACTATCTTCGAGGCCTATTTTTACCTTTCTTGCTTTTTAAAGCTACTATTTGCCGGTTTATCGCCTGCCTGTGTCAAAGGGCAGATTCACCTCAAAAACCAGCCATATGTTTAACACAGAGACGAAGCGGACCTTCGCACTACTTGCGATACAACAATTTATGATGCATGCACTATGACGCGGAAAATTAGCAAACAGGATTTCGAACTATGTTACAATTGAAGAAGGTAAAAATGAGAAAATAAAAAACAAGATTCTTTTTTTCGTGTTTGAATTTTAAAAAGTTTTTCAAAGAGGTCCTAGTGAGGTAAAATTTTGGCATTCAAAAAACTGGTGCCCAATCTTATTGATCTCAAAAGTAGTATCGGACATTTTAAGAAAAAAAAATCGATAAATGAGCCGACAATTGAAACCGACATCCAACAAGCTGAAACTCAGCGGAAATTTTTCGTCAAAAAACAGTTAGTAAAAAAACTTCATGTAACGCCCACATAGGATCCACAATAGCTATTTAAGTAGCGTATGCAAAGTACACTACATAATTTGGAAATTAAACCGACAGAGCATAAGTCGACAAACATGAAGCCGAAAAATCATAAGTAGAAAAATAATATCAAAACTATAATTAAACATACAATGGTTTGAGTTCTAGACACAGCATGAGTAATAACTAGTACCTGGTAGTAATTTAATTAAATAGAGCATGTCAGCAGCACCATAAGTGATTCAACTGATTCTGTTGAACTGGTTGTTACCTTAAAAAATCTATATTCCGAATTGATTAAGCTTGCTAATGGCAAGCGTTTTTTTCTCGATGTGCAGTCAATTTCATCGCCTTTCCGCTGAAAACTAAAAATATTCTGGAAATTGTATTGGACGTTTTTTGTGAACTATGTAAACATTTCGCCCAACAGACATATTTGCTTATGTTAAGACTTCAAATACCCGTTCTACTCAGAAAAAAAAGCCAACAGACAGTTGTCCCAAAAGTCTCCATGAACACAAGGAATCAGAAAAAACTGACTTTTTATAGCTTCGAATTTCAGAAAAAAAATAGCTGGCCTTAAGGCTCTTCGAATTTCAAGAACAATTTATGTTTAACACTTTTTAAATAAAACCCTATTTGAAAAAACTGGATCAATAGGTAATTGTTTTAGTCAGCTGGGAAATCTTCAAGTTAAGATTTAGGATTAAACATTATTAAGTTTTTGTTGCTCCTTTTGCATTTTCTTGTATTTGGCAAATGAATTTGAATTTAATCAAAAGTCAAGCCGAAAGCATGTCCAAAAATTCACGGACGCAAGAAAAACAAAAAAAAATCAATTTTCGAATTCCAAAGAAAAAGTGATGGTACGGCAACAATTCGTGACCGCCAAAAATTCATAACAAGCGAAAATTTGTAACAAGCGACAATTCGTAACAATGCATTGACAAGTAGAATCAGCTTGCTCCGCTTCTCTCCTTCCAAAATATGGCCTTAAGGCTCTTAGAATTTCAGCAGCACCACTGACATTTATTGAAAAAATAGCCTTTTTGGCTTGTTCACTTTATTTCCTAGGCCGAACCAATTTCTTCTTCTCAGAGCTGCTCATACTATCTTTAAAAAAATCTTATACTGTGTGAGCCCGCTTCGATTTTTGATTTTGAATGATTCAGCAGAGAAGCGCGATGAAAAAAAAACTGGCACTGACAGACCACGCTTCGAACTGATTTGGCACTGACCGCACTGATACCGTGGTCACCCTGAGTTAGTAACGACATGAACAGCTTGAATATCAAACCATCGCTAGATCGCATCGCATTACTACTTTCTTTGAGGAACCCAATTTCATGGCGGGGTGAAAAAGCTAATTGTCTTGATCATAGCCCCTTCCCATTCTACAACATACGTGATCGCAAGAATAAACATGAATTCGCTTTATAGCACTAAAAAAATTCCACGAAAAACTAAGTCGTGTTTCACACTAATTTAAACCAGTATCTAAAGACATCTGCTAAGGAAGGTTTTCAATTTTCGGGCCATGGCCCATGTCGCTTTTAAAAGGCGTGGATACTGCGAAATAGAGGCAATCGTACGCCGGTACCCTAATTATTTGAAATTAATTAATTAGTCTCACTTGGCGAACGATAGCGACGCTGAAGACGTAGTCGAACACGTTTCACTGTTCTCACTGCCGCCCCTCGACCTCCTCCTGTTTTCGCCCCCACTACTACCCCAATCTGCTGCCACCTCATTCGCAGGTCTGTTAAGAATCAACATGACATCATCGGCATCTTCGGGTGCTTGATGGTTCAAAGCTCGAGTCAGTCTGTTTTCGCGTTCCAATAAACTCCTCGGAGGCTGTTGTTGCGAGTCGGTGCCAGCTGATGATTGAAGAACTTCGTTCGTGTTCGATTCCTCGTCGTTCTCAACCATTACAGCAGTTGTTTGCCTTAAAAATCATAACTCTTAAATAACAGTTTGAAAAATTTGCTTAAAAAAGATCGAACGTATGTTAATTCATTTCATGCAAAACGGTAGCAAAATATTTGACTCTACGGTACATTACAGGTTTTCTTGCAATTCGACTTCAAATTCAATCATACATTGGCTTGAAAAAAGTTTACACACTACATCATTAGTGTTTTACGTCATATTGCAGCTGACCTCTTCAATAACATCTAAAAGCTCTACTATGTTATTTTCTCATCCACAAGGAAAAGATCAAACTCTTTACGGAGAGCCTCATTAAAACATTTACACTCTCATTATATTCTGCCTATTCTCTAGGGTAAACATCTTGCCTCAGCATGAAGCATTGAGCTCGGATCGAACAGCCGACCTTTAGAAAGACAGGCGGATACCTATCCAGTTCACCACCGTTGGTTAAACATTTCACCACCGTTGGGAAACTAAACTGAATTGTCTCTTTTTGCTTCTGATTATGAACTCATGGTTTGTATACCTGTTATACGTGCGTCGATTGAAAATATTGAGCAGCCTCGATATGCGACTTCCTCTTTCAGACGCCGAGTCATTGCTCTCTGGATCTGACACCGCATTCGGGACCGAGTTGAACCCCATTCGGTTTCGCGATCGGTCGCGCACATCTATCAGCGGACAGTCGTCAGGGTGGGACTCGGCTTCACCGTCCTGCTCCTCTTCGTCCGGTTCCGAAGACGACGTTGAGTTGAAGGGTAAGTTTCGCGGAGTTCGGAACCCACCTGCGACACTAGCAGCAAACCTAAAGCACCAAAGCCATGATGAATGATTTTATAAAGAACAAAATGACAGCATTACGGTAAATTTTGCCATGTAGCAGATCTAGCGGGAGGATATCTCGATTGAACTGGATCCTTAGATGTCAGCCTAACAATTAAAAATCGGTATTATAATCTATAAAAAATTCGTTCACCAAGAAAATCCATTAACCCAAACACAGACTAAAATTAAAGTATATTGCAGACTAAAATTAAAACATAGCCAACAAAAAGTTGGCAAAGAGTAACTGAACGTAAGATACAGAGAAGAAAAACTGAGTTGAGTTATTTTTTGAAAAAAAAAATCAACTTAACAATTTTAAGTAAGAAAATATGACTTAACAGCTCTTTGAAATTTTTAAACAATTTATGATGGACCATGATAAAATTAAGTCAATTTGATAAAATTGGATCAAAAGGTAAAATTTATATTCTGAAAAAAAAATACCCGAAACTTTAAGTCAGACACGCGTGAATAAACTTTAAGACTTTCTCATGAAAAAAAAAATCAGCAAGACCCATATAAATGAAAATCATTTCGTTATTTAGTACTTAATCATGGCTTAAGAAAATCCGAAAATCTCCACAACCTTGTATCTTATTCGCCAATAGCAATCTCCACATTTTGAAAACACAAAAAGCAAGTTCAAAATATTTTAATACCTTATGTCCGCAATCGAAATTTAGTCGCAACACAAAAAAATGAATCAAGTCGCTCAACCCGGAAATCTATTTTTTTTTCAATTTTTAAACGATATTTACGGAGGTTTTTATTAAGAATACAAACACCCAAAACCCATGAAAGTAAATAAGGCTTCTGGAAATTGAACTTAAAATTTATAAAAAATCGATTGAAAAACTTTATTGGGAAAAAAGGCCAGGAAAAAAGCCGACAAAAATTGAAACAAAATAAATGAATCAAAAAATTGACTGTTTAAAATTATCTGTCCATCTTTGTGTAAAAGTAACGCCAATTCGCCATGAAAAAAAACTAACTCTTAAGCTCAGAAGAAAAAGAAAATGAAAAACATAGCCAAGAGACGGTTGAAAAAAGTCAATGAACGCAATTGAGCAGAAAAAAAAACACTGACCTGTTTTTTGACCAAATTGAGAAAACTGGATCAATAGCAAAATTTCTATTTCGCTAGTAAATCTGAAAATTAAATTCCACTTTCGAAACTAGAAGTCGATCACGTTTTTCGTGACTTTTAATTTTTTGGTGTTCTATAGTGGAGTTTGCCATCCTTTTAACAAAGGTCATGAACTGAACTTAAAACGAAACTAAAAGTCAAACTGCACAAAAAAGTAAATTTGAGCCTAAACAAATTTTAAGACTTTTGCTTGAAGTGGGGAGCAGTGGTGAAGTGGTTACGTCTCCGCCTCTCAATCGAAAGGTCGGATGTTCGAGGCCCACCATGATCCGTGCTCGTTGCTTGAGGGTGAGGCAACATTACCCAGCCCAGAAAAATAACCAAAAAAAATTGCATGTATTTCTTAAGCAGGGGCACAACAGCGGTTCGCCGTGATGGGCTGTACAGCTCGTATGTTGGTCCTATCCCTCGTGGATAAAAATGGAAAAAAAAAAGAAAAAAAATCATCGAGACTCATCAAGACGTTCATCGACTCTCTTTTGTTCTAAATCCCAGAATTCAATTAGTGCATAATAACAAGAAGACATCGAAGCGTTTTCAAATTTAGTAAAAGTTGTTTTAACCATAAGAAAAGTCAACAAAGCCGACAAAATAAACAGTCAAGCAATAGTCCGCCACGTAAATTTGCAAAAACAACAGGTCCTGGCTGGATTCCAACCAAGGGCATTTGTCGTCTAAAGCATGGACGTTAGTTAACTCTTCCCCACATGCGCATAATCAAACGCAAACTTGAATTGATTATAAATCAAGCTATCATATAATTCAATGATTATGTTAGACAAGTTGTCACCCTGAAAAAGTGTTTATTTCGATTTAATGACGCTTGCTAAACTTTAGAAAATTTTCGTCTCAAACATCGAATATGGGGGATAAGAAGAAACCTTGAGTTTGAGTTCGATGTCTCCACATCATGTTCATTGTTACGTAACACATCATCCTGACTGATGCTACTATCCGTTTGTTCATCATCGTTGTCTCTATCTTCAGCTTCTGTCACCGCCTCATTCGGGGTCGGGGGAGGCGTCGGTTCTTCTATCTCTCCCTTAGGAGTTATTCTCTGCTTGCAAAGCGGGCAAACTCTTCTCGTTTCTGTCAGCCATGGGTCAATGCATTTGCAGTGAAACGCATGTTTACATGGCAACAGTCTTAGCTTGTGACCATCTGAAACATTCAAAACCGAATTTGAACAAAAGAGTTCTTAGTTTGAACTCTTCATAACTGAACCAGACCAACCGCGAGGGTTAAGCAAATTGTCAGCATTAATAAGCGAATTGTTCATAATTAAATCTTCATAAATGTGCCTTTAATGTCAGAAATATCAATATAAGTATTCAAAACAACTATAGCAAATCTCGTACATACTGTAAATTGTAGGGCGGACTTGAATGTTTATCAGTTCCATAATCCGCATGTCTTAATGTGACAACCAAGAAAATAACAGCCCAGAAAACAGAGGAAAAGTTATCATGTATATAATCAAACTGAGTTTTATCCGATATTGGATATATACATTAAGTCGCTTCATGGGTTCAACAGAAAGCATTTTAGACAGTTCTATACCATTTTGGAAAATAACATAGAAATATAAATATTTCAGTTCCAGCGTAGAGACAAATTCTCTTTTTTCAATGATAGAGACAAACAAGTCATAAATATTACATTTTGCCCACTCTCACCAAAAAAAATATTCTCATTGAACGACACAAAAGGCCGCAACTAATATCAGGCAACTTATTTTTCCCAACTATCACAACAATATACTGTCATACACCAATATTTTGACGGTACTAGTACGACAAAATAACGAGCAAAGATCATCAAAATTTGCCGACGTGTTTGCGTGAAGAGGTTACACATGTGATGATCAACACTCCATGGTAATCTACCCTAGTCTATGGGAAAGACAACTAACTACTCTTCCCCATAGGAAATGCACATTCTGAGGGTATAATGGGGAATGGGGAAGATGGCATTGGAGTGCAGCTGTGATCGAGTGACTTATGGGCTCTTTTCCATCACCGCTACCTTTCAATTTCAATTTTCAAGCGTTTCGCCATAATAACACATGAAACAACTTTAAAAAAATTGACATTTTGTGCTGTTGGGGTGTCATATATATATATTATTACTAGTCCTTAACTATATTATGTTGTTTGGCGCCATTGGTTTTGGCCATGTGTTTGGTGCGGCTAACAATTGATTAAGTACCTGCTAATCTTAGTTAAGTCGGTGTATGTTTTGAGTTATTGTTGCTAACCGTTACGACTAAAACAGTCAGTCTAGATTCAGTAAATTTAAGATATTGAATTTGCATTTTTCACATGGCGCAGCAAGCAGGACAAAGCGCGGGATCAGGAAAAAATTCACTGGGAATTACGGCATTTTGGCCGAGTAAATGTACGGAAGCACCGATGCTGTGGGAGCATTGGATTACACGTTTTACATGGGGTGTAATAGCAAAACACTCATTCAATCCGACGGCATTCTATTTTGATCGGACGCTAACCGCGGCGCAAATTACAGACCTGCCAGAGGAGGTGCGGGGGAAAAATCGTTTGGAAGCGGAGCAGACAATAATCTCTAACCTTTACTTGTGCTTGGGGGAACGTGGACAGGACGAATTACATAACTGAAAACCCCCTTTGGACCTGGCGACTACCCGATATCTTCGGGTTTTGGATGAATTGAGTGTTTTCAGGAAGGAAAGAAACGAAACGTTCGAAACGTACCAGCTACTCTCTCGAAAACAACGTGACGGGGAAACGTTGGAAGAGTTTCATTCCGTATTGAGTGGACTAGCCGCTAGATGCTCTTTGGGGGCACTGGAACGACGCGTGTTACGTGACGTATTTATAGTTAATATGTCCAATAAGGAGGCCCAAACGGAACTATGTCGTTCAACTAAGACGCCAGATGAGGTCTACCGAATTGCTTTGTCATACGAGCGGGGTGACAAGTACGCCAAATCGTATAAAGTACCCGGTGGGGGACTTACCGCAGCACCAGCGGGGTCATTTCAAATTAAAGCGGAGCCAATAAGCGCAATCAGAGGAGGTTATCGCCGACCATTTCAAAGTGGTGGACGTGGATTTGGCAGAGGAGGCACAAGGGGTCGTGGAGGAGCAAATCGCAAGTGCTATAATTGTGACCAGAGTGGTTTTACGCCGGATCACATTCCAAAGTGGCCAGCAAGAAATGCAACCTGCAACTTTTGCAAGAAAACTGGGCATTACGAGCGAACTTGTAGAGGACGTCGATCGGCGAATAGGGGTCGAGTGGGCATGATAAATGAGGACGGCACCGATGGCGGGATTGAGCAAGATTATCCGGAGGAGAGTGTATCCAACTACGGAAGTTCCGTTGGATGGGTAACCGATTCAAAGGCACCGGCACATGGATGGGATTCGGATAGTTCAACGGAGTATGTAGTTCTGTCAATCCGGCGGAAGGAGGAAGAAGAATTGAGAGTCGCGGGGGCAAAGCTAGCATTAAAGATCAATGGTAAGGCAACTCAAGCCTGGATTGATAGTGGCTCGCCAATATCTATCTTTACCATTGGGGAACTGAAACGTACCCTGGGTACAGCTAACGTACATTTGAAACCGCTGGATCCGAAAGACGACCAGTTTCGCGACTACGGCAACAACCCGTTGAAATTCCTGGGGAAGATGCAGGTCACGCTTCATTCCAACGGATGGACTAGCTCGGCGGATATCAACGTCATCGGAGGGTGCAGACCGTCTATTATCGGCAGGGATTTAATGCCAGCACTAGGACTGATGTTGGTCCAAGCACCACCGACGAAAGGGGTAAACAGCATACATTCACAGGAAGGAACTGTGGAGACGGACAATGACTTGGACGATTGGCAGAAACATTTTCGTAAGCAATTTCACCATCTTTTTCGCAGGGTAGGGCGTATCCGTAATTACAAAGTGCAGGCCGAATTCTTCAAGAATTTAACTCCAATTCAACAAAAGGGTAGGCGAGTGCCCATAACATTACAAGAAAAAGTTGATAAGGAAATTGACAAACTTTTGGAACAAGGTCACATTCAAAAATTGGAAGAATATTCAGATAAATATTTTGTCTCACCGATCGTCATCACAGTGAAAAAGGATGGTTCGGTAAAACTTGCACTAGAATCCAGAGAATTGAACAAGCAAGTACATAAAAACAAATATCAAATGCCCAATATTGAAGAACTAATGGACATTGTAGGGCAATCGATCAGCGAACGTAAACAGGGGGATGTTTTTTTTTACAACGATGGATCTAACGTACGCATACGGACAACTTCCTTTGAATGAAAATACTAGCAAACATTGTAATTTTTCTTTGGTGGGAGGCCATTCCACCGGTACATATCGCTTCAAGACAGGATTCTATGGATTGATAACCATGCCGGCGGAATTTCAACGTGTCATGGATGCTATTTTGGCTGAATTTCCTTGTGCGCATGCCTTCATTGATGATATCTTGGTAATTTCAAAAGGTACCAAGATTGAACATATTGCCCTTGTGGAGAAGATTTTAGCGAAACTAAATAAAGAAAATATGGCATTGAAACTAGAAAAATGTCAATTTGCGAAAAATACTTGCGAATGGTTAGGCCACCGGATTACAAAATCAGGGATTACACCAATGGTGCGGAAAACAGATCCGATTGACAAACTAGCCGCCCCGAGGACGCTCTCACAATTGAAGTCGTTCATGGGGTCAATCCATAGCCTTCACAAATATTTACCTGCGTTGGCTGAAACTTCGGCGCCCTTACGTCCATTACTTAGTAAGAAAAACGAATTCGTATGGACAACTGACTGCCAAACAGCGTTTGAATCGCTTAAAAAGCAAGTTGCGAACATAGTCGAACTTAAGCATTTCGATGTGCATAAAGACATTCGAATCGTGTGCGACGCGAGCCATAATGGGTTGCGGGCTGTACTCGAACAATTAGGCGCCGAAGGTTGGCGCCCTATATCATTTGCGTCTCGTTTTCTAAATGCGGCCGAAAAGAAATATTCGACAAATGAGCTAGAAATGCTGGCCATAGTTTGGGGTTCCGAATATTTCACAAATTACATTTTCGGGCGGAAATTTACCGTAGTGACAGATCACAAGGCTTTAGTATCATTATTGAATGGAAATAATAAGAAAAACAAAACTATGTTCAGTCGGTTGACTCGTTGGATCGATCGAATTATACCCTTTGATTTTGTCATTGAACATATGCCGGGGGCTAAAATTGGCCCGGCGGATTATCTATCAAGGCATCCGGTGGGGGAAGCAACAAGAGTTAGTCTCTATGATAACACTTTCACAGTTGCTAAATTGCATTCAATGACCAATTCACTCGGTTACATTAATACCAATAAAGGGATTATCAAAGCACCAAAGGAATCAATTGTTTTAGCTAAAGATATACAAGTTGGAAATGATCGAATTAACTCTCCATCGGAAGAGGGCGTCAAAACGCGTGACCGTCGGCCAACCAATCAAAAGCCAGTAAAACGTATAGCTAAGTGCAATGACCGTGAAGGCGCGAAAATCGTGAAATCAATTACGGAATGTAAACTACGTGAGTCTGATATTAATTCCAATGTAAACAGTGATTCTCCTTTTACTCAAACAAATACTTCTACAATGACATCAATAAACTTAAAGAAGTTAAATAAATTATTGTTAAAACACCCAGAGATCACGAGCGGCAGTAGCAGTGAGGTGGAGATAGTAGATGCACGACTGGAGGCGGAGACACAAAATACTAGGGGCATCCGATGCAACACGGCAATTTCCATTCCTTCGGCATTCGGAGGCGAATTATTTCCAGCGGCATATCCAGCGGGAGGAAATGTCATTATGTCGGTGATTCCCCGGGACTGTAAGATCGTCCGAAAAAGCAGTGCATTGCCGGAATTGTTCAACCTTAAACTAATCGAGGCGAATTATAAAGGGGACCCTCAGATGCGGGCGATAAAAGAACCCAAGGACCCGGAGTTGGAGAAGAAGGTCAGACCAATGAGTGCCTACCTCGGACAGCACGCACAAGATTTCCATGTGCGGGAGAATTGCCTGTGAATGGACGAACGACTCGTCATCCCCATACCACTCAGGAATGCAGTGGTTAACCGAATCCATTGTTTTCACCACGGGCGCTCGAACATGTTCGATGCAGCAAGGGACGTCTGGTTCCCCTATCTCCACCGGAGTTTAGTTGCAGCTGCGGATGGGTGCAAGGAATGCACGGATGCAGGTAAAAGCCTTAAACCATTATGCGCTAAAAGTGACATTGGGAAAGTCTATGAACCACGGGAGCCAAATGAATGCCTACAGCTAGATTTTTGGGGCCCGATTAGATATCTAAATGAATCGAGTAAATACGTTTTGGTGGCGGTTGATCGATTCTCACGCTGGCCCTCCGCAATGATCTGCGGGAATAATAAAAGCGAGAAGGTCCTTAGGTTTATTAAGCAATACATATCTCAACCTGGTGTCCCTAGGAAAATGTTTATGGACCAAGGATCGAGTTTTACATCGAAGGCGGTTAAATCATTTTGCAATTCCGAAGGAATAGAAAAAATATATATTCACCCGTGAATGACCACCGTGCTACCGGATGTGTCGAACGTACAATTGGCAGCCTGAAAAACTATGTTTTAACTTACGCAAAAGAAAAAGATAGCGGAAATTTAGAATCAATGATAGAACGAGCGTTGAGTGCCCTGAGATTTGCTCCGAATGCTACACTTAAAATATCGCCGTTTGAAGCTCATCGCGACAGGGAAGCAAATACGGTCCTTCGAAATCTCACGAAAAAACCGACCTTGCAAAATCTCAATTGGGACAGAGTGTTGAAACAAAAATCTGCCTATTTAGATTCGACGAACCCACGAAATCAGAAGATTTCCCAACCTATGGCAACTGATTGGGAAGAACGGTCTGACGTTGAGTATGACGTCGAACACATGAGCCACCCTAGACGACTGGCACAAGAGCAACTAGTTTCAGCGGCGGATGGAACACCAATGGTTGTTGTGAAGCAAACCATGGGGGGCAAGCCCAAACAGTCAAGCAAGCGGACGGAGCTATTGTTCCAACGACTAAAGGACAGTAATAAAAGGTATAGACCCATAAATCAGAAAGTAGTTAGCGAATCTAAGCATACTCTAACCTTAGCAAATGGCTCTGTACTTAGGAAAAGTGGAGTTGCTGTGAAAGGCCTCAAACCCAACGCGCAGAAAAGTGCGAGCCAAATCACACTACCATCTCCCGCTATGAGTACACTGAAAAGTCGGGCGGAATTAAAACAACCACAAAACGAACAGGCGGCGGGGACAAGTACACAAAGTACAGCCGAAATTAGAACGCGAGAAATATCACCAACTCGGGATTCTGCGGAGGAAGCAGACTCGGATTCGGAGTACGAGCCAATAACGATTTCACGATACGCAGGGCAAACAACAGTTGCATCCGATCGGCGCGTGGAATTGAGTGCACCAACGGTGTCGAAAGATGCAGAGGGCTTAGCGGAAAATCCAAATTTATCCGAAGGAAGCGGCGTGCCAACATCCAAGGGAGTGGACACTGAAGTCCAAACCATGAACACTGAACAAGGGGGAAGTGGGCTGAATGTGAGAAACAAAGGACAGCCGGAAAAACAAGCAAAGAAGAAAGGGGAGCGAGGGCGACGTCTACGGCTTGTATCGTATTCTAGCCAGGAATCAGAAGACCAAGATGGGACAGGACCAAGGAAAAGTACCAGAAAGCGAACGGCGGTATCCAAATTCGGCGGTGTTATGATAGACAGCATATTTAAAGTGAGAACGACCAAAGGAGAGGAAGACAGAGAGCGGGACACGATCTAAGCAGGAAGACAAATTTGGAAGATGGGGTGAAGGGAAATGAAAACAAAACTATTTAAACTTAAATCTTATGCCCAGGGAGAGGGTGGACCACTGCGGGTCTAAAACTCAAACATTTATCCCTCAGATAATTTTTAAAACGTTTGTTTAAAAAATGATCGTTGAGGGAATGTCATATATATATATTATTACTAGTCCTTAACTATATTATGTTGTTTGGCGCCATTGGTTTTGGCCATGTGTTTGGTGCGGCTAACAATTGATTAAGTACCTGCTAATCTTAGTTAAGTCGGTGTATGTTTTGAGTTATTGTTGCTAACCGTTACGACTAAAACAGTCAGTCTAGATTCAGTGAATTTAAGATATTGAACTTGCATTTTTCACAGGGGGGAGGAGGGGGGGGGGCGTGGAGAAAGAGCCGGCCGGCCGGCTTGACTTATGTGATTATAAGCATACATTACCTTCGTAGTCGTCTAGACAGATGGCACATGACTCCCACTGAAGACACTCGACGTCTCCCTTCTTCCACTTCCTAGTTGGCAACTTCCTCAGACCCCTCCGAGACAGTCTGTTCTTCAGCTTCGCCCTGCAATATCAAATGACACTTGCACAAATTAAAAACAAACAAATAGCCAATATCTATCTACACAAAGGCGAAGCCAAATTTCACACGATTTCCATGTATTCACACAAAAAAAAAACAATACCCCAGATACGATGATTACAGGATTGAAATCATTTGATTTCTTGAGTGATAAAACTTGACAGTTCAAATAAAATCAAACTGGTTTTTGGCAGCAGAAACTTGGCAGCTTCAACTGATTTTTGGCAGCTAAAATAACGTAGCACTTAACCAAAAAAGTCATTTACGGTAAATTTAAAAAACACGAGACTTTGATTTCAGTGAGTGCTTCAACAAAGAGGCAAAATAATGTTATATTTGCGGCACGATTAATTAACGAATTGTGATTTGAACAAAATTCCTCGTATATTTGCCCTGATATACGAGGAGTTTTGTTCAAATCACAATTCGTTAACTAATCGTGCCGCAAATATAACATTATTTTGCCTCTTTGTATGCTTATAATCACACTTGAATATTCCGACTGCCCCTTAATCCATACCGAATAGTATTTGGGAAAAAATATTGAAACACTATATATTTTTGGAAAATATCAAAGATCAAGTGTATAAAATTGAGTCGTATGAAATTAATACGACCGATTAAATAGCGAAGTCCCATTTGTACCAAGGCTAATTTGTACCAAAATGAAAAATCGGTCCCATTTTTACCAAAATTATTCGACTCAGTTTTCTGATTGGCCGAATTGTGAGCCAACGATGAATTACATTTCAAGCATGATTACTGTTCAAATAAAAGAAAACCAAATAGCAGAATAGTGACCGCCACAAAAATTAGAGCCGGTTATCGCCGCAAAGCGGCGACACACACTTAGAGCGCCCACCGGCGACCTTAAAACATGAACTTACAATAGTAGTCTATCGCCAATTGAATATTTTTGGCACTAACGCGATCGATTTTCTATTTTGGAAAATTGGACTGATTTATCATTTTGGTACTTGTGAATACCCACCGATTAGTTGGCCTCAATTCAATTTGAATGATTTTGTGATGGATAATTCATGATGCATAAATATTTCGCGTCATGCCTTCAGCGGGTGCCGGACATCAAGCCGACAATTCTTCAAGCCGAATCGTAAAATTAGGGACTTGAAGCCAAACATTTTCTCAAAAATTAATGAAATATGATTAATTTGAAGACTGGTTTGAGAAATTTTTCAATTTCATTATCTTTCTTTATCGGTTTTTAGCTTTTCAGAACATATAAGCCTCTAGTTATGCTTAGGAAAGTTTAAAATTAAAATATTGTTGAAGGCGCTTTTTATGTATTTATTCATTTCAACAACCGGCTGATGTAAAACATGGATGCCATTCCTAAGAGGTGCATTGTCATGCATAACGCTCATTATGGACTAGACTTGTCTAAATTTTTGCAAAGTACCATGTTACAGATGATCAAATAGTGCTTAAGTTGAAATTTTGTCCTGAAGTCCCGTCGGCTTATTGTCCTATACCCGCTTTCAGCATTATGAAAAAAAATTCCAAGCGCACAAAAATTAGTCCAGAGCCCGGTCAAATTGGCAATTTTCAAACTCCCAGAACTTTGCAAAAAAAATGGTCGGATGTAAAATATCTGTTTACATTTGATTTCAGGGAGTCGATATCTTCGATGGGGTAAAATAAAATGTTTTAAAAACTATAATTTCGATCGCCAAAACTGACTGAAAAAAAACACACCAAACATGAATATTCCGTTTTCTCCGAAAGTCGGAGCAATTAATAATTGCTAGCGTGTTTCGCACCTCGGTGCTTCGAATATTCAAAGACTCAAAAACCTATTCTTTGAGTGTACTCTGACAGCACCCAATTACAGGGTTCGTAATTGAAAATTTTGCAAAGTTTTTTATTCAAGTTTTTTATACAAATTTTGAAAAACCAAAAAACTTTGTGAAGTTTAATAAACGTTCTTCGGAAAATTTAAAATGAACTAAGATACATCACAGCTGGGAAACTGAAAGCAATTGAGCAGTCACATTTGGACGCAAGATTTGCAACTCCTGAGAGTAACTTAAAATTTTGTAAAATTTTTCATTCGATTTTTTAATTCAAATTTTGAAAAACCATAAAAATTTGTGACATTTTTTTATATCCAAGTTTATAATGAAATAAGAAACGTCACATCTGAGAAACTGGAAGCAATTGAGCAGTCGCATTCGGACGCAAGATTTGCAACTCCTGAGAGTACCCCTACAGTACCCAACTACAACGTTGGGAAATTCTGATTTTGAGAAACTTCATCTTAAATTTTCTAAACCAGAAAAAATTCACATTTCGAACACTACCAAAATTTGAGCAGTTTTTTTTATGGCAATATTCGCAATCTTTGAAAGTACACAACTACAGGTTTGGGAATTTCACTAACGAATTATTTTGTAATAATTTGAGTTTTCTTAAAATTTCCAAAAAACTTGTCTTATCTTTTAAACAAAAATGAAGCCGAACTTGCAACTCCTGAGATTACTCTGACAGCTCTCCAACTACAGGTTAGGAATTTCAAACTTTGAAAAAAAAATTTCATGAAAATTTTTTGAAAAAATCACAAAAAAAATCATATCTGGAAAACTGCAAGATTTTGAGCAGTCCTATTCAGAGGCAAGATTCGCAACCCCCTGAGAGTACCCTCAAAGATTCCAATAACAGGATTGATATCTTCAAAGTTTTGGAACTTTTTAACATTTAAGTTTTATTTGAAAATTTCGGAGAAAATCATAAAAAACGTCATTTCTCGAAAACTACAAGGATTTGAGCACTCATAGTGGGAGAAAAAATTCGCAATTCCTGAGAGTACCCTGACAGAGGCTCACTACAGAGATGAAAACTTCAAGTTTTGCGAAATTGTTTATAACCTAAGTTTTCTGAAAAATTTGGAAAAAATCATCGAAAAAAGTTTTTTCTCGAAAACTACAAGAATTTGAGCAGCCATTTTCAAAGGCAAGATTCGCAACTTCCTGAGATTACCCTCACAGATTCCAATAATAGGAATGAGATCTTCAAAGTTTTGGAATTTTTTAACATTTAAGTTTTTTTTAAAATTTCGGAGAAAATCATTAAAAACGTCAGATCTCGAAAACTACAAGGATTTGAGCGGTCATATTTGGCGGCGAAATTTGCAACTCCTGAGAGTACCCCGACAGAGCCTCACTACAGAGATGGTAATTTCAAGTTTTGTTAAACTTTTTTATATCTAAGTTTTTTTGAAAAAATTCCAAAAAAACGTCATATCTCGAAAACTACACGGATTTGAGCAGCCATAATCAAAGGCAAGATTTGCAACCCCTTACAATATCCAACAACAGGATTGAGATCTTAAACGTTTTGGAATTTTTTTAAATCTAAGTTTTTGAAAATTTTCGAACGTCATATCTCGAAAACTACAACGATTTGAGAAGTGAGAATTGGAGGCAAGATTCGCAACTCCTGAGAAAACCCTGACAGCACTCAACTAAAGGGCGAGATATTGCCTCTCTTAAACTAAAAGGATTTGGTTAGGCCAGAATCGCAAAACCTGGGAAAATTCTGACAATATCCGACTATTGGGTTGCTAATTTCAAATTGATGGAATAAACTCTGAATTTGAACTGGAAAATCGAAAAAAAACCTTAACCATTGAAATATACGATATAGCTTAAACGTGAAAAAATTCATTTGTTAAACATGGAAAAAGAATATGTTGAAAAGGCTTTAACATGGCGAGATAGAGAAGCCCGCATTTAAATATATAATAGATCATAATAGATGAAAGTTAAAAAATTAGGCGACGGGTAGACAGACATAATCAAATTAATTTAAAAAGCAGGTATACAGACAGACAGACTTAATTTGACCTCGAAAAAAAATACTGAAAAATTAATGACCTTGCGAAAAACTAATTGAAAAATTTTCTTAAGCATTGCAATATATGATATAGCTTAAATCTGAAAAAAATCTTTCGTTAAACATGTAAAATTATTATGCTTAAACATGGGAGATAGCTGACACTCGCATTTAAATATAGTATAGATAGATAGATAGCTCCTGGTTTCTTATCTGTACGCCAATTGAATAGCATGTACAAGAATGCTGACTTCAATAATGACTATCAGTTAATTTGTGATCATATACCCGGTTCTGACAAAATTATCACCGGCAGAAAATCGAGAAGTTGCTTCAAAAAGGAGTGACGGTTTTTAGAAGACCAATGACCAAGTGTAAGAAAAGTACAACTGGCGGATAATTGATTGAAAATCAGCAAGATCTATAGAAGATTCTTCGCTACATTCATTACTCTTAACAGAAATTGAAATAAGCTCTTATTCTTGTTGATATTCCCCAATTAAAACTATTATTTCGCCGTTTGCCAGCAGAACTGCACCGGGAGACGGTTTTTTGGTAGACCAATCTTTTACTACATAAAGTTGAATGATCTTTTAGCAGAAACGAAATACAACTGACTCAGACTTGATTGACAGACGTAAAAAGACGCTCAGTCTGGGGTTGAGCTTCCCTAATTAAGCCAATTATCACGTTTTATTTAGTAATTTATCGTTTATTGGTTTCAAAAACGGTAATATTCATTACCAGCAAACACTGATTCACGCGTTTCGCGTACCGAAAGTAAGCGCAGCGGATCGACGTAGACTAAGCGGTCGCTACTCCCCAATGCCGCATTTGAAGATAGCTTTTTGACCTGTTAATTGTTTTGTGAGTCTGCTAAAAAATCGGTCTGCGCAAACCATTCTAGCCTTGCAAACCAGCCTAGCACCATTCCATCAGTTTAAAAAACAGAAAAGCCTAAAAATTTGCATAACACTTGCGCCAAAAATTAGCACAGTGTAGCAAGCGATCATTAAATTCGTGTTTGAAATTATAGCTCTGGCTTGTTAAAGGTTGAATCAAGTAACAGATCGGTCTGCTTAAAGTCTTAGCTGCTAGTGCGGCCAAGCCTTACAGAAAAACAGTAGCAGACACTAAAACTGTATCTGTAAACCTTATAAAAATAAATGGTTCCGATCTAGTTCAATGATATTCCACTTTATACAGTGCTGATTTAAATTATCCGGACAAAACGAACAAAACTTGAATTTTCAAACGCGTTTTTCTCAAATTGGGTTAAGATTAGACAAAAAGTGAAGAGAACAAAAGTTGCTTAGAATTTCAGAATTAATACGGTGCCATTTTTTCTCCGAAATTCTCAACAAAAATTTTACCCCAAAAATGGGTCATTTTGGCTTTTTTCAATTAATCAAGAATTATGCTGAAACTACTTTGTTAATTGATAAGAAAATTATATCACAGGAAGCCTCTTACGCAGCTCAACAAAGTTTAAGAAGGGTTAAATCTCCAAAAATTTGCGCAAATTGTTTAAAATCTATTTTTAAACAGAGATTCTGGGTTTTATATAGTAAAAGTCACATTTATTGACTATCAAGTGAAATTTTTTTCTCTTATACTGGTTTTTGGAGATTTAACCCTTATTAAACTTTGTTGAGCTGCGTAAGAGGCTTCCTGTGATATAATTTTCTTATCAATTAACAAATAGTTTCAGTGTAATTCTTGATTAGTTGAAAAAAGCCAAAATGACCCATTTTTGGGGTAAAATTTTTGTTGAGAATTTCGGAGAAAAAATCGCACCGTATTAATTCTGGTGAAATTCTGAGCAACTTTTGTTCTCTTCACTTTTTGCCTAATCTTAGCCCAATTTGAGAAAAACGCGTTTGAAAATTCAAGTTTTGTTCGATTTGTCCGGATAATTTAAATAGCCTTTTAGCAGAAAAACATATTTGGCGGATAGCTCATTGACAGACATTGCAATAAGCTCCTCTTGCTAATTCCCCAATAAAAACAATTATTTTACCATTGGCCAACAAAATTGCATCGGGTCGGGAGATGCTTTCCAAGTTTGACTTCAAAAACCAACTGTTTAAGATAAGAGCTTCCTTTTCCGTTCCTTCAGATCAATATTCCGATTTTTGAACAAAAAAAATATATTTTCGCAAGTTTAGGTTTTTCCTCCAAAATCATTTCTCGAATTAACAGAAAAATATATATATCAGGTTAAAGCTCTTTGAATTTCAATACAGATTCATGATGGGCACTTGTTTGATGACATTATTCAAATTTAAGAACAGCTAACAGACATTTGGAAAAGAGTCATTGAACGCAGGAAAACAAAAAAAAAATACTGACTTGTTTTTTGAAAAAATCTCCACTTTCAATTTTCTGAGAAAAAATAGGCGACCTTATAGCTCTTTGAATCTCTAAAACAACTTAAGATAGAAACTTTTCTTTATAAAGTTAGCCCAATTTGAGAAAACTGGATCAGTAGGTAATTTTTTTATTCCACAGGAAATCCAAAAACTTTTGCGTGACCTTTACAATTATGCTGTACGATATTGGAGTTTGCCTTCCTTTTATGATGAAATGAACTTAAAAAAATCAAAAATCGACCCGAGAAAAACCAAACTTGAGCGTTAACAAATTTTTTAAGACTTTTTCGTTTAAAGAGAAAACAATCAACTCATAAATATCTTCACTGCGTTCATTGAAAACTAAACTTGTATCAAAAATGTTTCAAATGGTACAGAAACTCATCAAATATTTCTTGCATACCTGTGATCTCGAACGAGTTTGACGAGGACGAATAGGAGCATGATGATGAAACACACGCCCACTATTATAACAAAGGGGATCAAGTACAGCTTCAGTGGGATCAGAAATTCGCCTTTTATAGTGACTTCCGTATTCACATTCCTAAAATAAAATCTGTTTCATTGGGTACAACAAATTTCTCATGAGCGCAGTATGTATATACCATGAGGCCAAGCTGATAATGATTGTAGTACATGAACAAAAGGTCAACAGAAATTGACGATCATTATAGTAAAAGTCATATCAGCCAGTGTGTAATCAAGGGGCGATACTCTCAGAACTAATTTAAAAAAGCCTTATGAAAACGAAAGGCTCAGAAATTGATTTTCAATGGCTTATTTGAATGTATGATACAATAGTAATTGATTTTACCAATATAAATCTACAGCATATCTGAAGTAAATGAGCATAACTAAGAGACTTCCTATTTCATATAAAAGTATTTTCAATTACCACCAAATCTAGTCCAATAATCATTGGCGGGGCAAAACGCACTGTAGCTTTTTGATTACTTAAAAAAAACAAGTTATATGCATAAACTCACATGTTTCGGTTGAAAACCAAGGTGAAGTTTTCTTTTAAATTGATTCCGTCGCTTTTGCCCACAAACACAGAGGGAATTGAGACGTCGTACACTATAAAAACAAGAAAAAACATTGAATGCTTAGTATTGTACAGAATTTTCTACCCTGTGCGATTTGAGGAACCGAAGAAACCAAATAAAAAACCACAGATATATTTTTTACCAAAGGAAAATTCTGAAAACATAAGAATTCCACCAGCCCTGACATGCGATTTAAAAATTAGCGGGCCATAATATACGACCAAGATCAAACAAGTTGCAACAGCTTCAAAAGTATATGGACGATACTTAAAAGAAAACATTCAACGTCAATATTTAAACGATTCAGAACATATTGAAATTTTACCCCCCCCCATCAACTTTCAATTCCCGACCTACGCCACGTTGGCACTAAGGTCTGTCGATCACAAACAGCCACTTTCAGTTACGCCAATATCAGTCTCGATTTTTGAGTCGTTGCTGAAGTGCAAATAATGCAGTAAGATCTTCGCAAGAATAGAAAAAACTCAAAACTTTGCTCTTTCCTACTTTTTCTGCATCAATTGATTTTATCAAATTCAAAAAATATAGTTCACAATCTGCTTTGAATTGAATTGTAACACAAGTAACACTAAATTTTCTGAGCTGCTTTGTTTTTCATTTTTTTTTCATAGTAATATCACCCACTTGGTTCAAAAATACGCTGAATTCATGTAAGGCTAGCATTTTTTCAAGCGATTTAATTGGTCTGTAAATTGCACGGTACATATGCTGCAATTTTAATTCGAATAATAGTTCACAAAACGCCTGAGTGAAAATACGACTATATATGAATAATTTGAAACCAGCGATATTTTAAAAAAATCCAACTAAAATGTAAGAGGGGGGAAAAAGTGGCAGGTTTTTTCCCTACGAAATAGTGAACACAGAGGAAGAAAAAGACAGGGAGAACCACACCAGTCGACTCATCAGGACCACTCGGTTAAATTGACTCAAATTCAATCACTTACTTCCAGTTGAATCCATTTGAATTATTGTATCGTCCTCATCGTTGTATATTATAGCGGCACTGAATTGAGCCTGTTGTGCATGGTAAACCTAAAGCAGCAAAATTTCAGTAACCACACAGAGGCGAAGCGGAGCTTTGCACCGCCACCAACACATTAGAAACCTAGAACGGCACTCAAAGGGATTATAACCACAAAGTCGAAAAAAATGGACAAAAATCTACAAACATTTTCATATGTTTCTATCGAATGAAATTCATTTTAGGGCAAACATTTCAAGAAAGACAATTGCCAGCGTTTAATTAGCATTAAAGTACAAACAAAGCAGCGGAAACTAAGCCGATAATATATTGGTGGACGCGCGTTGAGCCAAAAAAAATGGTCAAAAAATGACCTTTGAAACGCTTTGAAAAAACTGTAGTCATAATAAATGTATATCTTTAATGTGCTCAAAAACGGATAAATTGTACATCAATCGAAAAAAAATTAAATTGTAAAATCTTACTGAAGTAGAGAGGGATAATTTGAGCAAAAGAGCATAGAATGTAGGGAAGGACAACAGGTTTACTGACCTTAGTCTCGAACTCACACTCTCCCTGTTCAATCAGGACAAACATGGGGACGCTGATTACGACATCTGAAGACGGCGTTGATAATGGTGTGCAGGCGTTCAGCGGCTGGGCAACCAACAGCACTCCCTAAACACAGTACCGTAATGGATCAAGCCTTTAAGATAACAGACTATAACATAGAGGCGAACTTTCCAACCAATTGCGATACAACACAAGCGTATCATTGCATGTTAACGAATAAAAAAAATGAGAAGGAAACCGCTAAATCGACAAGATGCAATTTCAGAAAAAGAGTCAACAATCACAACTATCAGCATTAGATAAACTTTTAGTGCCATTTACCGAGCGGTCACAAAGCCGGAAACACTTAGGTAGAGACTTAATGACAATGAGCCGAAAACAAAAAATGCCATAAAAATCATCTTCATGAAAAAAATTTGAGTATGTAAAAAAATGCACAAAAAGTTTTTCAGGAGCAACAACAAGTGCATCATAACAGCTCATTTGTCTCGAATGAAATTTTTTTTTTTAAAAAAAAACATGCTAATCAAGACATTAGAACGTTAAACAAAGAATTGTGAAAATTCATATTTGAGAAGACACCCGTTGAGCTAAAAAAAAATGTTTTATCAAAAACAAATTTAAGGTCCCCCATCAAATACACACATATGAGAAAAATTTTTGCTCATCAAGTGACGCAATAAGAAGCTACTAAGACTAACTTTACAAACCGCTCACTTTTAAATTGAAAAAAAAAACAAAGACAATCGAAGATTGGAAGAATAATGAACGCAAATATACATTAAAAAAAACAGACTTTGTTGAAAAAATCTATTTCAAAGAAAAAAATTGATGCCTTTTAAGCTCATTGAAATTCTATAACTGATTGTTGCTTTTTGATAACATTAGCCCAACTTGAGAAAACTGGATCAATAGGTAAGTTTTTATTACGCTGGAAATCTAAAAATTAAATTTCACTTTCGAAACTAGAAATCGTTCGTATTTGGAGAGTGCTATTTATGTCACTTTGAGCAGATGATTTTCAACTCAGCTCAAAAAATGCATATATACCTAAGTGCATTAATAAAAACATCAATATGTATGAATGCACATCTGTAGTTATTACAGACTTAAAAAACAAAAACAAAATCAGCAAGCCCTATATAATAGTCTTCATTACGTTCATTACTCTTAAAAACTAAAAACATAGCCAGAGGCGAAGCAGAGATTTGCGCCAATTGCGATGCACAAATTAATGACTACTACTACTTGCAGATGAGTAAAAAAAAATGAAATAAGGAAAATCGAATAATTTTTTGAAAATTACAAAATTGCAAAAAAAATCTGATATCTTCGAAATAAACTACTGAACCTTTACAAACAGACGCAAACCAAAATATCGCTTTCTTGCGATACAAAAAAAAACAAAGCAGTACAAACTAACCGACAAGTTGGAGATAAAGCAGGAGAAAAAAATTAGTAAAAGAATGATAAAGAAAAATTGATCTATCAAAAATTTCTTACTTTGTCTTGATTTTATATTGAACGAAAATGGCTTTCAAGAAAATATGCCAGAAAGTAAGACAATTGGCTTCCAAACACAGCGGCGAAGCTGAGCTTCGCAACACTTGCAATACAAAAAAAATAGGATCCTAACAGCATGACGTTGATGAAGTAGCAAGATGACTTCGAGCCAAGAAAAAATGAAAAAAGATCAACAAAAATAACAATCTAAAAAATGCAAACAGAAGTCTTTTCGGGATTGAATCTATTTCGGATTTTGGGAGGTCTTTGTCGGATTGAATTTCAGGTTTCCAAAATATCGAGCCAGTTCTATCGATCGTAAAAATAAAACCGGAATTGCAGGAACCAAATATTTTGAAGAAAACATGATATCCCATAAGCAGACAATCAACCGAAAGGTACTGCCACATAGTGTCCACCAGTGTTTTATGTAGTGAATGCAAGGTGGTATACCCAATCCGGAAAAAAAGACAGTTTAAGTCGACAACTATAAAATTGCGACAAAATACAAACATAGCACCACAAACTAGCAGACAGAAATTGAGCCAAAAGCCACTAAGTCAAAAAAATTTAAGAGAAAAAAGATATAAGATATATTAGCGTTATAAGTCCATGCTAATTGATCGACAAAGCAAAAACTTCCACTTCACAAAAGCAACAAAATTTCCGCAAAAAATAATAACTTAATTATTTCTACTCTTGCCTTCATCGAGTTAAAAGAAAGCCGAATCTTCAAGAAAAGCAGGTGTTGTCCTGTTTACATCAACTATGCCAAAAACATTAACTAAACCGAAAAACTGACGGTAGCCCAATAAATTTGAAAATTTCTTTCGAAAAAACAGGTCTCGGCCGCTTCAAATCACAAGCCATTGTCGTCTCAAGCATATTTATTATCTCAGCGCAAGATGCACTGGATAGTTGATCGGACGTAAATTTACTATAATAAACGAACTAAAAAGGCAAAAATAGTTACTGAGGGTTAGATTTACCAAAACATTCTCGTTTGATTTCAATCGTTAAAAAAACAAACAAAAATAAACAGGACAAAAATTAGGAAAACGAGCCGATATATCTCAAAAACGAAAATATACTAAAAAAATTCAAATCCAGAAATATTTAATTCGGAACTATTTCCGTAAACACAAGGCACATATGCAGCCAATACAAACCATGCAGCGGGTATGAATTATACTGATTACCATTTGACCAATCTGAGAACCAAGTTACTTACGGGGGAAAATTAAGTATTTGATTGCAATACCCTAGCTCATCAAAGGATAACACAGAAGCGAAGCGGAGCTTTGCAACACTTGTGATACAATACAAACTTAGAAACAAAAATCAGTCAAAAAAGCTGAAAAATGTTGAAAGCTTGGTGAACCAAAATTTATGTATGTCTTGATTAAAGACCATTAGGTGCCCAGCTAAAGCTGGAGGTACGTTTTTGACCTTTCTTTGGATTTCTAACACTAATGCGGGACGACATGCATAACTTCGGAAATTGAACTTTGCCCAAAACCTTAGTTGTTTCCCTATTAAAATAAGTGAGAAGAGTGAAAGTTTTTTTGAGTTACTTAAATTTTACCCAGGACATAACATTTCTCAAACGAAAAATTAGGGAGTCGCTGCTTCTGCAGGAAAAAATATTGCAAATTTTAGATTGAACATTACATCTCAGATTTGATAGGCTAGTTTTGAAGAAAAATCATATAGTTTCTTGGAGCGGCCAAAAGTTCAAAAAACTTGACTTTTCGAAATCCACTACTTTTCTGCAAACATAAGGTCAAGGCCGCAAAGGTTCGAAAGATTCCCAAACTAATTTTATCAATTGAACGCTTAACCTGAAAGCTGACACGGTAGTTTTCGAGTAAACTAAAAAAAATCCAGTAAACGGTCAAAGTTTCACAAAACTTTGATTTGTTTGAAGGCTTCATTTTTTCTTTAGAAGAGGCGTAGCCAATTGTAAAAGTAGGGTTTCAACAACCTGTTGTTCCATTAAACCTACAATACCAGATTTGGCAGGATAGGTATTGAGAAAAGACCAAAAAACAGTCAACAAATCCAAAAATTGCAATTTCCAAGCGTCGTTCTTGTGTAAAAAATAGGCTCCGCTTATGCAAGGAAATTCACGCAAGCTGTAATTTCGATTGATCCCAAAAACTCCGATTTGAGAGGGCAGTTCTTGAGAAGTGTCCAAAAAAAGTTCAACAACGGTCAACGACTTTTCCGAGCTTCCTTTAACTCGCAACACTGCAACCCGTTCTTTGATTGAACCCAAAATTCAAGATACGGGAGGGTATTTTTCGAGAAAATTCGAAAAGTTTGAAAAACCTGTCGAAAAGTCTTGACTTTTTTTAGGGCAATAACTTTTTGTGTAGAAAAAATATGTGAAAGCCGCTAATGCAGTGGAGCTTCACACAACCCGTTAACTCCATTGAACTTACAATATCAAAATTTAGAGGCTAGTTTTCGAGAAAAGTCAAAGATTCAAAACACTTTTCTAATCCGTTCTATTCATTGAAACGGAAATCTCAGATTTAGAACGGTAGCTTTTGAGACACAGAGGCGAAGTTGCACTTCGCATACACAAGCAAAAATACTACCAAAAACTCTACTATTAAAAAAACTGAATGATAAAACTTTGAGTCACAAATTTCTTAAGTGACGCACGCCAATTAAGAGTCTACATAATTGCTAATAGATGCAAGTCAATTTTGACGCATCAGCAGTACCAGTCAATTTGAAAAAGCAATTTAACAACTAACATGCCTCAATTTATAGAGCGTACGCATTTAATCTAGTATACGAAAAATCTCATTCAAAACATCGTTCGAACCCTCTTACTTTGTTGCGGGTCTCCTTCCCTACGCTACAGACCCATGATATCTTGAAGCTAAAGTGCTAATATCGCTAGCAATGCCTGTACTTAACAGCTGGTTATTGACCATAATAAATAATGAAAAGTTTCAAAAATCAACACTAAAATTTGCGACTTATGCTGGATAAAAAAAGAGTTCATACTATCACACAAGCTTCGCTTGTGCAAAAACTAAATAACAATCCAAAAAAAAGGTCAAATATTTCCCGAAGACTTTTGTGAAGGCTTTGGACAGGGGAGGAGCGGTAAAATAAAAAGGGACAAGCGGAGTAAGCAGGTAGACAGGGGTGGAGTCATTCTTTCGATTGATACTCCTTTTTTTGAAAATTGGAAACAAATTAAGAAATCGAATTTCATGTACTTTCATAAAACCTGTTTTATCAAACAGGAATTCTAAGAAAATAAGAAAATACGAAAAAATGAAAATACACCTTAAGAAAACATTTTAAATATCAATTTTGAGACTAAGTATCACGTTCTCACATCTGCTCCACGGCCACTTTTAATTTTACTAACACTAGCCAACAATAAAGCAGCATAAAATCGAGCAATTTTCAAAATTTCAAAAAAATGGACTTTACGCAAAAAATTTTCTCTGCTTAAATAGGAGATTAGCTGCTCATTTAAAGAATAAAACTAATACTCGCTCTTTCAACTGAAACTTTTATCTCGGTTTCTGCTGGCTAGTTTTCGAAAAAGGTAAAACGATTCCAAATCATGATCAAAAAATCACAACTTTGACATTTCCTAAATCCATAATCTTTTCTATACTAAAGCAGGGTAACAGCCTTTTATGCCGGGAAGACTTCCACACCCTGATTTTTATATTGAACCCTAATATTAGTTTTAGATAGTAGTTTTCGAGAATAGTGATGAAAATTCTAAAAAAAAACGGTAAAAATGTCAAAAAATGGATTTTCCCGAAGCCCATATCGAATTTTCTGCACAAAATAGGATGGAGAGACTAAGCAGGAAAAACCTTAGCACTATATTTTTTTGAATGATTATCAAACTTAAAAACAGCAGATAAATTTTTGAAAAAAAAACTTTAAAAAAAGGGCAAAATTTCAAAAATTGGACATTTTTAAGGACATGTTTTTTTCAAATCCACGGAATAGCCGCTTGCCCAGGGAAGAACTTTTTCTTTAAATTAAACCCTTAATCTCCGATTCGGTAGTGCAGTTTTTTAGCAGAGTTTTTAAAATTGACCAAAATGTCAAAAAATGAAATGTCAAAATGTCAAGCTTGTTTAAGGCCACAACTTTTTTCTACCAATTTAGGGAATAACCACTTGAGAAGGAAAGATCCCCCCAATTTTTTGTTTTGATTGAAATTTTCGTCTCAGATTTGTGTTTATAATATTCGAGAAAATAAAAATTCAAAACACACGGGTCAAAAATCCCCCTACTGAAAATTTCGAGGCCGTAAAAAGTGAAGTAAAATGAAAAGAGACTAGCGAAATATGCAGGCACATAAATGAGCAGCCGCTTTGTCCATTGATACCATTTTTGGGTTTTTAAGAAAAATTGAAAGGGGTTTTTGAGAAAAATTGAAATTTCTGCGAAAAACTCATAACTCAAAAATTTCTACGAAAGAAATCAAAACGTCGCAAAAAAGCAACAATCCCATACATTTTAAAAATACCCGTTTTTGTTCGAACAGGACCTAGCACTACTCAAAAATAGAGCAACAATAAATGCTATTAAATTTTCAATGCAACCACTGTGATACTTGCTTACAGCACAAGAGAATCCTTGATATGATACCTAAGCCGATAAATCTTGAGCAGACAAATGAATATCCTACAATTCAATTTTTAACGGAAAAAACTTAATGGCATACATAGTCAAAAAAAATCATGCCCGGTCAGGACTCGAATCACAGACCTTATGGTGCAAAGAAGACGGCGTTGCCTCTATGTCAAAAGCGAAGGAACCTGGAAATTGTTACGATTCGATAATAAAGAAGTTCTTATAATAAAAATTTGAAGAAAAGTTGTTTACAGGAAAACTCTAGTTCCTAGAAACAAAACAACTTGCAAAAAGGTAACATAACCGACAGCTCATTAGCAGAAATAAGCTGCGCCAAAAAAGAAATGTTTTTATTAGAAAAATCCAAATGCCGCCACCTTCAAAGGATCTAGATAAAACCTTCTTGCTCCTCGAACTTTTCAAAATTGACCATTTCATTCAAATAAAGAAAAAAGAGCAAATAAAAACAAAAAAATGATATACTGAAATTGGTGTTGGTACATTTGTTTTCACCAAAGTCATCCATCAAAGTCATTTATTTCCACCAAAACCAATTCCACCAAAGTCTAATACCCGATTTCAATACCCTTGCTTATCGCAAGGGTAATGATAACAGGAAAATGATGACTGGAAAATGAGGCTCTGAAAGACTTACAGTAAATCCGTAGACGTTGAAAGTGGATCCGAATTTTGCCTGTGCACTGTTCATCTCCACGGTTTCGACTGAGACATGGCCAACTTGCCTTTTCTAAAACCAATAAAAAAATTTGCGACTAAAAGTGAATAGTGCTGGGTAAATGAGATGCTCTGCAAGGCCTCCATCTGTCTATTAACACTCAGTGGCACTCAGGGGCGGTTTTAGGGGGGGGGACGCCCCCTCCCTCAGGGATTCGACCCCCTGCCGACCCAAAGGTACTTTTTAAGACATCCATTTTTGGCCTACCGACCCTAAAATTTTTCTAAAGGCGCCAATATTTACTAAATTTGAGGGGGAGCGCTCGCCAAAAAACGCAATTTTTTTTGTCAAAATTTTCCAAAACGTGCCCAAAAACGGCTATTTTGACCTGTTTTTTCAAAAATTTGCCTGCGGTGCAGAAAATTTGGCCACAACAGCGTCTTTTTGATGCATTAGGAGAGCTCGGAAAATCAATTTGTTCGACCTAAAAAAAAACAGGTCGTCAAAATTTTCGAAATTTTTTTAAAAATCCGCCCCCCCCCCCCTCGAGAAAATCCTAGATCCGCCCCTGGTGCCACTCCAAATACCGGTTTCAGTACAGGCTGTTTCGTGAAATTGTTTTATTGATGCTGAAAACTTTTACTAAATACCATTTAGAAAACTCCGAGGAGTTAACATAACTTTAAAACCCAGCAACCTCTATGGCCCTTTGGTTAAAATATCGGGTCTCAGCGAGCTTCGATAAAAACGTTAAGAAGCACTGGCCGAAATATCTAGCCAAGAAGCACTACCATGATTTTTATAGATACCCATTTTTTCTTCTTCTTAAAAAAAAGGTTGGAGCTCACCGCAATCACTTGTGAATCTACGGCCGACCCTGACAAAACGCCTATTGGAGCAAACAGAAACACAGCAGCCAAAAGCAATGAACTCATCGTTCCCTTGTTGTCACTTCCTTTTCCAATCAATGTCTTTGTTTTTCTCAAAAGGAAACTAGCTGACAATTTAGCAGCACTTCAAACTCCCTTCGGTAATTTAACCCAGCTTATTAGCATATAAAATTTCATTACTTGGTCTGAAACATTAAACGATAAAATAATCGTAATCATTGAATTTATCGCGTCACCAGTAACTTAAAACCGGCAATTTTACATAGTACTCGCTATGCGGGCAATATATTGGTTTTGTTTGATGCGACAACAAAAACTGGGACATTTTTTGTTTTGTTTTCAAAAAATACTCTCATCATACTCGGACCTAATCGATCGTTATTTTAAATGTATACATTTTTTCACAACATAGTCTGAACCATAACACAAAAACAGAGCTTCAATAGACTTTTTTAAACAAAACAAACAATGAGTTTTTCTTTTCTGATAAAATTTCCGGCCAGATTAATATATATTTTCTCCAATACTGAAGAAATAGGGTTTTAACTTCAAAGATTTTTACCTATTCTGAAATTCTACTTTTTTCACTTGAAGGCTTGACCATGTCTGAAAATATCAGCAATTTATGGAAACTAAATTTTCTGAAATTTATTTCAATCCATTCCAAATGAATATTTCATTTTTTTGTGAGATAATGTTCTAGCATGTAGAATTTTGGGTCAAATTCGAATGACTAGCTCATGTAAATATTGGAGATGAAAAGCATTTGTAAAAAAAGACATGCAAAACAGCACCAGCAAAAATAGCAGAAGCTATTCAAATGGGTCTGCACTTGGAGTGTAGCACCAATAAATTGAGATGAGACCGACCGATCTAAGTTCTCTAACCTATCAGGAATTGTTAGTATGCAAATTGATTGAGGATGCAAAAAGGTTACAATTTTGAAAACATTTGAAAATTTACAGACCCCCGAGAAACATTTAACTTAGCACCGAATGTAACAGCTTAAAGTTTCCTAGTACAATATTAGATTCTACACGAATGCTTTTATTTCTCCTAGATCAGTTCGCATAACACAATCTTAACTGAATTTTCAGAATAAAAAGGCCAAAAAACTGTCAATCAAAAAGTATTTTAATCAAAAGACCTTTACAAACATCTTTCAAAATTCCAGAATTTTTATACAACACTAACTGATCTTAAGGAAATTCGAGGAGCACATTTTACATGAGGAACACTTTGAGACAATCATTGTACATGAACTGCTGTCCGGTTAGAGGACAAATAACTCTTCCGCCGTTTTTCTGAGACATATCCAGCAGCGCTTCTGTTGAATAAGCATGCCCGTTTGGTAGCATTAACGGAGGGTTGTGTTCGTTCATAATCTCTCCTGTGATCCTACACATGACTCTTGATTGACTCAGGGTCCCAGTTGGCAACCCTTTCGCAATTTCTCTCAGAAACGGATCACAAGTAGGGCAGTTTGGATTCGATTCTCGTTCTTGGTAGCACGAAGAAGTTCGGATGGCGCACAAACCAGTATTGAAAAGCTGCGCAAACAATGGCGTCGAGTTTATGCAGTGAACTTTGTAGTTATCCGTTTTGAACTGCTCGGCTAAACTGTTCCATCGGTCGTCTTCAAAGTACTTTTTGTATGGGGAGCTCATGAAGTTCTCTGGCATGTACGCCAAAATTCCCGAGAGCTCTTCGAGTTCCTTATACTGAGTGTGATCTGTCATTGCGTTTATGATGCATTCCCGCGCGTAATTAAGTGCTTCCATTTTCCGGTCCGCCCTAACCAGTTCGACGAATCCTTGTTTGTGCAGATTAAACTCAAGAGTACTTTTGACTTTCTTCAGCTTAGATTTGTTTTCTGCGCACCACGACAAGCACGGGGCTGAATTTTTGTTTCTCAAAGCGCTCTCTACGTTTCTGGCCGTAGTGAAGATTTCGATATTGGTCAGTTTTCCGATATCTGTCGCTTCAATGAGGAGTCTAGCTGACTCATAATAGCCGTTCATCAGAAAGTACTCCGCAACTAAACGATTGATTCTCGTCTGCCTCCAGCCAGAATCATCTGCTATTTCCATCTCTTCGCTACTTGAAGGAAGGTCGGACAGAGAAGCACAGCTTTTGAGATGTTTCACTCTATCTTTAATGGTTGACCCGATAGCCTTTTGCTGTGCAACACACTCTTTCGCTCGCTCAGAGAGAGATTTTACAGATTGCTCTACATTTGCAATTAATGCTGGCAGCTCATTGGGTAATTTATCCGAGTTAGCGTTGCTCTCGAGGACATTGCACGCATTGATCACGTGAGAAACTTCGCGGTCAATGACTCTTTGGGATGCACGGAACCTTTTATTTAACACCTCGTAGGGTACTTTTAAAGTTTCATATTCTAACGCTTTGACTTCATCCATTGCAAGCCTTAAAACATAGAAGTTAAGATGACAAAGTTATCAAATGTTTCTGAATCGAAAAAAGCATGAATTCTCAATTCTATAAGCTGTAAAAACTTGTTCAAGCTGAAAACTTCGCAGGCAGATTTCCGGTTCAAATATATTCTCAATCTGGAAACAATTTTATACAAAAGAAGTTAATTACACACAAGGAAGAACACAATTTCCCCATTTCATTTAAAAGTGAGAAAATCAAAACAATTCGATAACTTATTTAGATGCAAACGCTATTTTCATTGCATTTGTTGGCGATATCTTAAAACCTTGCAGAGAGTCTTTAGCCAAGCTGGCGTTATTTTCGTTATCAAAATCAACAAATGCCATTCCTCTTTTTCCTGGTAACAACCTCGTTGTAACAAAACCAGTGAATTGTTGAAACAGCATTGTGATCATAACTTCATTAGCTTCTTCGGGCAGATTAGTAATGAAAAGAACTTTATCAGCTGACTCTCCTTCTTGTACAATGAGTGGTCCCCCAGCTGGTGTAACTTTCTTTTTGGCAGTTGTTTTCTTTTTATCTGCTTTCTTGCCACTGGCTCCTTTTTTGGAAACAATAACTTCTGAATCAGTCTTAGCATATTGCAGCCGGATTGCTTTGTCAAGAAAAGGAAATCCTTGGAGCGCTCTTAAAGCTTTTGTTGCATCGGGAATCTCGGAGAAAACAACGAATGCTTGACCTCTCATTTTTTGAGTTTTTAATGCAACTATATCAAGTATTGCTCCATATTGTGAGAACAAATAGTACAATTGCTTCTTAACTTCCAGTTTTGTCAATTTGTCATTCAGATTTTTTATGTAGAGCGTATGATTTGGTCGTATGTCTGCCATTGCTGTCTGAAATGACTATGTTAGCTAGCTTGTTTCAAATAGTAAAAACCATAGCAAAAATCACCCCGCAATGACAAAACAGAACAAGGATAGCCGGTTGCTGTGCAAGTCGCACAGAATGTTCCGACCACATTCTTCAAAAAAAACTTTTTTTTCCAAATTAGTGTTGTTTTATGGGAGTGGTGTGATAACAGGATCAGACGAAAGCCTACAACTTAAGCATATTCTCAAACAGGAAAAATGGGCATTCATTTTGTCAACAAAATGACATGAAAAAAAATTCACTAACAAATTCAAAATTCAATCTTTTTTCCAGATATATTTTTTGAATCGTTGAAGTTTTTATTCCCAAGACCGCGCTGAAAAAAAAACTTTTAAAAATAATTTTTTTAGAGTAACACTAAAACTTCTTGGCCTATCCTTCTATAAAAAATCACTCGCTCGAAATTGAACTAAAACTCAAAAACTTCAAGCCAGTTATTCTCGGCAATGGGAAAATTTTAGAAAACTCTTGATGTCGTTCGAATCAGTGCTGAAAAGGCCTTAAAACACAAGCAAGAAGAGGAGCTTAGCATACTTACGAGACAAAATGAATGTCGATGACTTACCAGCAAATGAAAAGACAAACCAAACATTGAAAGACAAATAAAAAAATGTTATATAAATTGAAAAAGGACAAAAATTCCAGGAGCAAAAATATCTCCACAATTAAAAATTTAAATAAGAGCTTTCAGAACGCTAAAAAGCAACAGAAACTTTCTACGGGACCTAAGCCCACTAAAATAAGCAGATACAAAAGTCTAAAAACAATCGAAAGTTTTCTGTTTACACAAAAAAAACAGTCCCGTATGGAATCGAACTTCTACGATTGTCGTCTGAAGCATGGGTGTTACTACTGCAAAAAACTCACGAACAATCGTTGATTTTGTAAAGAAAAAACTACCAACAATTTTTAATTCACGTGACTGTTTTTTAATTTGAGTAAGAACACCCAAAATTTAGGCAAATTTGGTGATGCGGTAACCAAGCCGACAAAAAAAGCAGACGATCAGAAGTCCATGAAAGATCCGCTCAAAAAAACAGCTCCTGGCCGGATTCAAACTATTGACAATTGTATCTATAGGCAGAAGCGTTAGCTCTTTGCCACCAGTGCGAAATAACGTCCAACATTTGATTTTATATGAACCAAAGGTAAAATGATTCCATTGATTCTTTTAAACTATTTTTTAGCCCAAAAAAAGTATATTCCGGTTTCATAACGCTTGCTAATCGCAAGCGTAATGATAATTCACTCTTACTATTATGATTATTATTTTTTGCAGCTTCTTTTTGTTGAAACCTTCTCGCTCGCTTTTCAAGACGAAAAATCAAAAACTTTACATCTGTTCTCAATACTGGTCACTGGGTCTTTCAAATCATGGCTGAAAAGGCTTTAAAATGATATATCATTCGAGCTATTCCGATTAATATTTGTGGTTCCCGATTTTGCGTGGGAAAAAATCAGGCAACTATGTAAGTCGAATTTTTTTTAGTTTTTGCACACTGTTTAACTTTCGAAGTTTTTTAAACCTAAAATGGCGCTTAAAATGGCAAGAGAAGCTAAAATTAGGCACAAAAAGGCTACTTTAAACGGCTTCAATAACGCATAAATGAACTTACAGGCGTGCTTCCAATCGGTTTTTCTCGATACTGGGAAAATTTTGCGAAAAAACTTCAAGATAGTTCGAACCACGATTAAAAGGACTTCAACATATATCCTTCGACCCATTCCAATTATTAATCGAGACAAATTTTTTGGTTAAAAAAGCCTACTCGCTCCCTTATTTGCTCGAAATTTAAAAAATAAAAAATTTCAAACCAGGTTTTTTACGACGCTTAGATAACTTTTTTCGAATTTTTTTAGAGACGTTCGAATCAAGACTAAAAGAGCTTTAAGATGATTTATCACTCGACCCATTGCGATAGTTATTTGTGGTAACTGATTTTGCGTGAAAATCGAAAAAAAAACACCTGAAAACAAAGTTCCTCCCTATTTTAAATGGTCGGAACAAACACTAGAACACACCCTAACATGAAGCTCCTCCCCATTTTTAATAGGGTCGGAACAAAAACTTCTGGCTACGTAGCAGTAGACAACCGCGTAAACGTACAGGAGTGAGTTGACAAAAACCAAGTCCACCATAATATTCTTTGGACAATTTGAAAAAAAACTAAATAACAAAAGGGGCCCTTCCGTTTAGTTACGGTAAGTGCACAATCTGGATAGGGCCATACCAGCGATATAAAAATGCATATATATCAGCAATGAAGTCATAAATCAGCATTAAATGCAGCGTCGTAATGTTAATTTATCTTAGCCGTCCTTCCTCTACAATAGCGCTTATGGAGTTGTCGATATATTGAACTTTGCGTAACGATCTGCAACCCCTTATACAAAGTATAGAGCTCCTCAGGAGAGCGAAGCTTATTTTAGTTCTTATGTAGTTTATAAATTCTGGATAGCTTTCTTGTCTTTTTTCACTTAGCTTTTTGGCTAATCGCTGCATCGCCCGCGTGGCTGTTGGAGCAGCGCCACCGGTGCATCCAAAAATTAGCGTGCAGAATCTACTCTGCTCTATGTTTAAAACTCTTTGCTGATATTTGGAGTTCTTCAGTGTTTCGTGGTATTTGTATGCATCCTTATGCAGTTTTCGCGATGTTTTGGCATGGGTTTGAAAATTTTCACATCAAAGAAAGCGCGGCTGAATCGTGATTCCCAGAGTCAGTTTGCCTTAATGTCAAGTCGTGCATCTTCAGTTGTAGTTGAATTGTTGACAGAGCTTTCGCCTTGCAACGGCTGAAGTTTCGGCTCAATCTCGACGTCATGGCAAACCTCGTTCATGAGGTTGGCGAATGTGTCTCTAACTTCATTGTGTCTTAGGTGTGTGTAACCACCCTTTGCACAGTGGAGCGTATGTGTCAAGTTAAAATTAGCACCACATGCACATGTGAGTGGGGTTTTGGTTGGTTCCCATCCGTATCTTAAGTAAATACCATCTCTGAATTCTGATTAATTCAGGTTGAAGTTGTATCTGCTCAGTGGTAAAGCCTTGAGCCAGTTAGAGACTCCCTTTTCAGAGGCCATGTCGATTGCGTATTTATCTGTTTCATTTAAGGAAAAATTGAGTTTTTTTTTTAATTTTCTATCAGTTTTCAATTTTTTGATTTTCGTACTCTTTTGCTTGTTGTGTTACTGCTGTAATAGGATCTTGAGATTCCAAAACTAGTGATGTATCCTTAGACCATTCTAGGTAGCTTTCACGATCGGATGGCAGCTTGATGTTAAGTCCGCCCATTTTAAGGGGTAAGGAAGATATCTCACGGAACTGGGGGTTTAAAGTGTCTTTACCGACTAGGTTAGGTAATAATTGTTCTTTGATAATATTTTCACATATTTCCAAGTTTTCCATAGTGTTAGGCGTTGTCCTGGCAAGAAATGAAAGCTTTTCTTGAATTCCTTTAGTATAGCAGGCATAAACGTTTTGAGGAGAGAATTTAGCGAATTTCATTAGTTTTTTCCAAATTTTGATTTGCTCATTCTGTTGAATTTCGAGGTAAATTTGGTGATGCGGTAACCAAGCCGACAAAAAAAAGCAAGACGGTCAAAAGTTCATCAAAAATCCGCTAAAAAAAAACAGGTCCTGGTCGGATTCAAACTATTGACAACTGTATTTATAGGCAGAAGCGTTAGCTCTTTGCCACCAGTGCGAAATAACTTACAACATTTGATTTTATATGAACCAAAGGTAAAATGATTTCATTGATTCTTTCAAACTCTTTTTTAGCCCAAAAAAAAAGTAAAATCCGGTTTCATAACGCTTGCTAATTGCAAGCGTAATGATAATTCACTCTTACTATTATGGTTGTTATTTGTTGCAGCTTCTTTTTGTTGAAACCTTCTCGCTCGCTTTTCTCGCTTGGTAATAGACAAAAAATCAAAAACTTTACATCTTTTCTCAATACTGGGACACTGGGAATACTGGGTCTTTCAAATCATGGCTGAAAAAACTTTAAAACGATATATCATTCCAGCTATTCCAATTATTATTTGTGGTTCTCGATTTTGCGTGGGAAAAAATCAGGCAAATATTTTTGTCGAATTTTTTTAGTTATTGCAAACTTTTTAATTTTCGAAGATTTTTAAACCTAAAATGGCGCTTAAAGTGACAAAAAAAAGCTAAAATTAGGCACAAAAAAGCTACTGTAAACGGCTTAAATGACGCATAAATGAACATACAGGCGTGCTTCCAATCAGCTTTTCTCGTTACTGGGAAAATTTTGCGAAAAAACTTTAGGATCGTTCGAACCACGATTAAAAGGACTTTAACGTACATCCTTCGACCCATACCAATTATTAACTGAGGCAAAATTTTTGGTTAAAAAAAAGACTACTTGCTCCCTTATTTGCTCGAAATTTAAAAAATAAAAAAATTCAAACCAGGATTTTTTACGACTCTTGGATAATTTTTCGAATTTTTCGAAACGTACAGGAGTGAGTTGACAAAACCCAAGTTCACCATAATATTCTTTGGATAATTTTTAAAATTACTAAATTACAAAAGAGGCACTTCCGTTTAGTTACGGTAAGTGCACAAGCTGGATAGGGCCATACCAGCGATATAAAAATGCATATATATCAGCAATGAAGTCATAAATCAGCATTAAATACATCGTCGTAATGTTAATTTATCTTAGCCGTCCTTCCTCTACAGTAGCGCTTATGGAGTTGTCGATATATTGAACTTTGCGTAGCGATCTGCAACCCCTTATACAAAGTATAGAGCTCCTCAGGAGAGCGAAGCTTATTTTAGTTCTTATGTAGTTTATAGATTCTGGATAGCTTTCTTGTCTTTTTTCACTTAGCTTTTTGGCTAATCGCTGCATCGCCCGCGTGGCTGTTGGAGCAGCGCCACCGGTGCATCCAAAAATTAGCGTGCAGAATCTACTCTGCTCTATGTTTAAAACTCTTTGCTG